TTTGAATCCTAGGGTAGTTTGCTTGTTGCTAGCCTGGTTTATTGCATCCAGGACTGCTGCAAAAGTTTGAGCTTGCTTCACTGGTGTTTCCTAACTGAGCCACATAACTGGCAAGGGGCAATGTGTGCTTTCCAAGAGCTGAGCTGCTAGTTCAGAGCAGAATTCCTTTGAAGAGCTCAGTAGCTTGGGGGGTGTGTGTGTGTGGATACTGTGGGAGGTCAGTTGCAAGTCAAGACCAGAACATGCAGAGCAGCTGTAGGAACATATAGCCTACAGGACTGCATCCTACTTTAGGAAATTCCTACACGACCTTATAATCTTGACCTTCTACCATGTATGCATGTAACAACAACATACATAATATAATCGGATGTGGTTATTATTGCAACAAGAAGCATGCATGTGTCACACCAAAGTTTGGGAAGGGACTGTGTCATAGCCAAACAATGTGACCAGCAAGAATCATGCGGTTCTTGTTGGACTCCAGATGACAAGCTTGAATGTTCCCCAGGATAAACAGCAACAACAGGCACTTAGAAACCAGTGTACCAGGAAGAAGCCTAGCCTAGGATATCTATCCCTGACATGCTATGTTTCTATGGGCAAGGAATTTTAAATGTAGAAGAACACTCAGATAAGAAACCCATTGCTGGCTGTCCACTGTTTTCCATCTCAGCAAGAGCTGCACCGTATGATTTCCCTGCAGCATATAGCTAAGTTGTGAAGCACCCCTTAATGTTCTTGCATTTATCACATATTAGCAGTGAAAACTGAATGAATGTTAGCGTTGAAATACCTCATCCATAAGAACAGGAAAGCAAATTATTGTAGTTGTGTTCCTCCTCCCAGTGACATCTTTCTGGTGGTGAAATACCATATCCTATGGCTTCAGGATTTGAAATGGGTAGAAATTATTGAGCAGTAACTGTAAGCAGCAGCAAAGGATTGCGGGGCAATGGACTGTGAGCCAGGTACACCCTTGCTTTCTCCCATAGCATCAACATAAGAACCTAAGAAGAAGCCAATGGTCCATCTATTCTGGCCTCCTGTTCTCACAGATTTCTGTGGGACCTGAACATGTGCACTCCCCCCCCCCCGTTATTTCCAGCAACTAGTATTCATAAGCACTGCAGCCTGTAATCATCAGATGGGAAAGGCCTTTATGGTGCCAATGAACACGCTTGTACACCTTGAGGGTTCTGCCTGTGGTTATTAGCTAAAAAGTCAGTGCTAGAGCACATGCTTTGCATTAGAAATATTGCAGTTGCGTTCCCTGGCATCTGTGGGTAGGGCTTTGGGTAGGACTGGGGGAAATCCTTGTCAGAAGGCCCAGGGAGCCACTGACCCATGTCATAAGACCAGCTCCTGGGGGCCGGTGCATTTCCCCCCCTCCATAGTTTTTTTGGGAGGGGGCTGCCCCCCCACATCGGACCCCCTCAATCATCTTGAGAAGCTGGCACCTCTGACCCACACTTACCTTTCCTCTGTTCTTTCTAGGCATGACTGAGCACCTCCCTCCCAGAGATTTCTCCCCAAAAACCCGCTTTTTAAAGCTGAATCAGAGGCAATGGCAATCCGTGGAAAACCTGAACTGATACTTGCTTTGATTGAGCACTAAAGAGTGGATTTTCACCAGGAGAGCAAAGGCAAAAATGCTCAGATATAGGGCTTTTAAGTGCAGACCAGTGCCTGGGAAGCATGGGTGAAAGGTAAATGAGGATAAGCCCTTAGCCAGTATGGATGACACTGAGCTTGATGTACCAGGTGCTCTGGCTCAGTATAAGGCAGATTCCTATGTTCCTTTTTAATGCAACCCATACAGAACCATGAGAACTAGAATCTTATTTCATTTTTTTGGCAGACAGTAGCTCAATGGTACCTGCTTTGCATTAAGAAGGTCCAGGGCTTGGCTCCCATCATCTTACAGTACATCTGGGAGATCCCCCCCCCCCCGCAACCCTCACAACCATTTAGCATAGGCAGTGGTGAGCTAGGAGAACCAGTAATTTGCTTTGTCTTTCTGAATACCAGTCACCTGGTGGGTGCACTTCTGCCTTCATATCTTGCATGTGGGATTCCCAAAACCATCCGGTGGTCACTGTTGAACTCTGGGGTTGGGTTAAGATACTTGTGGGAAACCGGCAAGCTGGACCTGAACACAAGAACTTACTGGGTTGCCTTGGTCAAGTTTTAGCCTGACTTAAAGCTCACAGTTGTTGTGCTGCAATTTGTTTAAAAAAAAACAAAAAACAATGCACTTTTTCATGCTGGGAAAAGCAAAGGAAATGACTAGTAACATGACCTGATCTCAATGTGATTCATAGATTTGAAAGTGGCCACCCATTTCCATGCCTATGAAACAACTGAATGGGATCGTGGAGTAAAATGCATTTCCAGAACTATGGTTCCTTGCGGGCACATCCATCATCTTATAATCTTCTATGACGTCGCCTGTTGCTTGCCTTTTCTCTAAATGAAAACATACTGGATGCTGCAACCTTTCCTCCTACTTTCAGGAATGTGTCTAATGATCCCTTTAAAAAAGCAAGTATGGATGGAAGGGAGAATAGTGAGGCTGTCTCTGCGCTTGTACCCCAGGCAGGTCCAATATTGAGAGGAAGTGTGTGGACATATCAGGTCCCTAGGCCTGAGGTTCTCACCCCGGGGCTAATGAGTGATTTCTGCTCACTTTTCAAAATCTCCTGTGGCTACAGTGTTTGTGAGACACACCGTCTGTTCTTTTCAAACAGCAAGGAGAAAGCCCAGCAACCCTGTTTGGTATAGTCAGGACAGTAGTCAGAATTCAAACAACAATGCACACACCATCCCCTTCTTTGCTTTTGCAGTTTCTAGTTAGATTTTGGCCCCTGAGAATTGCCAGCCAGCCTGCCTTTTCCATTTTCTGTCTTGCTGTAAGATATCATGTTGCTTCAGTTTTCCAATAAAGCAGCCACAGTTGAATGCAGGAGAGGCTTCTGGGCTGACGGAAACGTTTGTCCCTCTTCCTGGTTTAATGGTTCCCCCTGTAGGTCATTTTAAATATACCAGTATTTTCTACTGATTTGCAACGTGGTCACAGAAAGATGCGTTTATGGGTTTAGACCATAGCTGTCAACTTTCAGATTTGAAAATAAGGTATCAGCAGCCTCAAAAGTAAGGGACCAGCAGCCTCACCTGTCCCGGGGACAGTCTACGGGATAGCTAACAATCCGGGATAGCAGCGGGAAACGGCGCTGGAATAAGGGAATTTCCCGCAAAAAAAGGGAAGGTTGACAGCTATGGTTTAGACTGGGTGAGCTGCTTATCGACCATCCCAGTAACACTAGAACAGCATAACACTCTCTCACTGGACATCTTATGTAGCTGAATGTTGGAGTATTCAGGAACAGATGGAAGAAAGTCCTCTACCTAGAACACATAGAGGTTTTAGAAAAATCATTTGTTGTTAGCTGCCCAGCAGTCCTTTGGGACAAAAAGTAGGATATAAACAAATAAATAGCTAAACTTGGGAGGCTTTGGAAGAGGATTAGACAAATTCATGGAGGATGAAGCTGTCAGTAGAAGAAGAAAAAGAGTTTGGATTTGATATCCCGCTTTATCACTACCCTAGGGAGTCTCCAAGCAGCTAACATTCTCCTTTCCCTTCCTCCCCCACAACAAACACTCTGTGAGGTGAAGGAGGCTGAGAAACTTCAGAGGAGTATGACTACCCAAGGTCACCCTGCAGCTGCTGCCCAAGACAAATTGCCTCAGCCTTCTTCATGGACTCTCCAGCCTTGATGACTGGAGATAGCTTCTGAACTCCAGTTGCTGGGAACCTCAGTGGGGAGAGGGCTGTTGTGCTCAGGCCCTTCTTGCGTGCTTCCCAGAGACATCTTGGTGGCCACTGTGCACAGAGTTTATGTGTGGGCTGTGCAATGCCGCGTCTTACTGAACATTTGTTCAGATTCGTTTGTTGGGGAGATTATGTCTTCCAGTCAATTGATCTTTCTCCCACACTTTTCCTTATATTTCCCCACCATTCTCCTAACTGTGAATAGGACTTTCCATTTGCTCCGTGCAGAACTGGTTTTTTTGGGTTGGTGCTATGCTCCCTGCCCTTCTGGGTAGCCACTTTAAGAAATCACCTTTGGAACAGCATTCCTGTGTGCTTTGGAAAATAGAGGACATTGTTCACTACATTAGCCCGTGTCCTCTATTTAAAAATTCTTGTGGGAAAATATCTCAGTTTATCCACAGGGATAGATAGATAGATGATAGATAGATGATAGATAGATAGATAGATAGATAGATAGATAGATAGATAGATAGATGATAGATAGATAGATAGATAGATAGATAGATAGATAGATAGATAGATAGATACGGTCGGACACCAGCTTATAAAACACACTTGGGGGTACAATCCCAGAAGGAAAACAAACATTTAAAACAATGTACAACAATAAATTTAAAATTTATAAATGTGATAAGTATATAGACACTTAAAACTTTAAGATAAGCTACCACAGAGAGATGACACGGAGTCACCCATGGAACCGAGTTTGGGGTTTTTCTTAACGAACTAGTTTGGGTTGGGGGGTGGTCTGCGCCTACAAATCTGTACACAGAATTTGGCGACAATCTGGGTTGTCTTATGATCTTTGCCTGACAGGAGAGGGTCAAATTTTTGCTTTTCCAGGAGGTCAGCAAGCCTCCTCAGCAGGGGATCAATGGTCCACAGGGATAATTTTATTGCATCAAGTGAGATTGTGTGCTTTTTGCTGTTGGACAAGGGAAATCACATTACCTTGCATCCTTCTGGAAAGCAAGAGCCGGTTTTGTGGCTCAACTCTGACCATCTTTCTTCTTCTCCCTGTTATGACTTATAGCTAAATAAATATGATGGTTGCTAATGCTATTAGCCCCTTTGCTTAAATAGAAATCAGCACACTCCACAATGGTGTTGAATGCTTATCAGGGCTGGGAAATAACTGCTGGGTGCTCTTTGTGCCTTTCAGGAAAAAGAGAAGAAGTACATGTTGCCAGTGGATAATCTGAAGGTGCGGGATGTCGAGAAGGGCTTCATGTCCAGCAAGCACATCTTTGCCCTCTTCAACACTGAGCAGAGGTGCTGCCCTTTATCTGAAATTCCAGTAATACCATTCCATCTGCACATTTTGGGGTTTTATAAGGGCAGAGAATGGCAAGTGTGATGAAAGTGAGGTCGTGGGATGGCAAGTATTAGGAAGGTGAGGGTGTAAGAGGACAGGTGTTGGCACCATGGTGGCAGAAGGTGACAATTAGTAAAGGCATCAGTAAAGGCAGAGGATGGCAGATGTATTTACTCTGGGGATAATTAGGTGTATAAAGGACAAGGGGGGGGTGATGCTATAGGAAAGTGTAAAAGCACTGTTTCCTAAACTCTGAAAGCCCTGCTTTCTAAGGACCAAGCATGATACAGGCATGGGAGATCTGTGATCAGGATATATCACATTTTGTTTTTAAAGTTCAAAGCAACTACTGGGCTCTGTGACTTTCCTGATACAAGGCTGGTGGCTGCCTGTGGAAGAGCCAGCAGCAGAATGCAATGGTGGAGAGATGCAGAAGATCCCTGGCTGCAAATGATTAACCCAGCTGAATTGCACAGAAAAAAGTGGTTTATGCCTCACATTGATGCAGCTGGTGTTGCAAGCGAGGCCAAGGCTGAATGGGAGCCTCTCTGCACCCTGCTCTCCCTCAGTGTATGATACGAAATTGCACCCTCTGTCTGACAAATAAAACTCAGTTCAGATGATCTTCCAAATTATTATTTGGAAAACTGGGGGTTGCACCCTCCTCCATTGCTCTGTTGATTTCAGCCTACAGATGGATGCATCAGTATATTTCAAGCTCATGTCACTTTCAGATGAGTTCTTTCTTATGTAAGTTCCACCACCCCTTGTGCAGTAATCTGCCATTAAAAATAATAATCTGTATGGAAATTTATATTTAAAGATGTGCTCTATCTCATTTCTAAATATATTTTATCCTAAAATATACCTTTGTAAAACCCCTTTTGGTCCATTTTTTCAGCTGAGCACTATATTGCAAAATTCAGAGAAGTGCAAATTCTCACATTCTCACATTAGACCGGTGGGTGCAAATCAGGACCCTTTATGGCAGGATTAACAGAAAACAAGTTAATGAAGCATATCCCTACTGGAGCCATGGTTTGCTTGATGTCCAGACTGGGTGAATATGGCCAGGGATAACCTCCAAGTCATTTTTTGAAACTGTGGTTTGAAGAGGCTCTGCAAACTATGTTTGGAAATGGAACTGTTCGTCAGCTGGCAGTCTCACAACAAGCAGCATATAGACTGATTACTTCCTTTTGGCCCCTTTTCCTGAGATGTTCCCTAACTTGTGACTACAGATGGGTGAGAAACTCAACTCAGTTCTCAGTTAAAGCCAAATCTACCTAATTCATATTTTCAGGACCAATCCACAAACTGAAACGCAGTCCTCCTTTGAAATTCTCACTTCTCAGAATTTTGCAATAAATTTTCCTAGCTGAGTAATGTGTAGAAAATACGTATATTAGGATAAAGCGTGCTTTTTAAAAATGCATATATGTGTGAAAATAACTTTTAAAATGTGTTTTATATTAGGTATTTTTTTTGTTTTCTTTTGCCCCAGGAATGTGTACAAAGATTACCGGCAGCTGGAGCTGGCCTGTGAGACCCAGGAGGAGGTGGATAGCTGGAAGGCCTCCTTCTTGCGTGCAGGAGTTTACCCGGAGCGTGTTGGGGTGAGTTGATCCACAGCAGTGACAGAAGGGTAAAGGAGTGTGGGGGTGAAAGCATCTTAGAGCAAAACATGCCTACGAAGGACACCGCCCTCCCTGGTAGGGGCAGCCATGTTTGTTTGTTCATATGATCTACTCTGTTCATGTACAAAGCAAAGAGGGAATGAGTGATGGATGTGGGAAGCCAAACTTTCCCCCCAGGTTCTCACACACAGTCCATTGCCTCAGCTCCCAGCATCAGAGGTCAGCCAAAGGTAGCATTACCTGTAGCAGTGGAACCCTGCGTGTCCTTCTTGTTGTGCCTTCAATTTCTGCTCATCTCAAGACCTCCCTGAACATTTTGATTGGGAGACAATATCACGTCCCCAATACAGTGGAACCTCGGAAGCCGAATGCCTGTAAACTCAAACGTTTCGGCTACCAAACGATTGAAAACTGGAAGTGATTGTTCCACTTTTCGAACGATTTTTGGAAGCCAAATGTCCCGCGCAGCTTCTAATTGGCTGCAGGACGCTCCTGCAGCCAATCAGAAGCCCCGCCTTGGAAGTTGAATATTTTGGTAGTCAAACAGACTTCCCGAATAGATTCCGTTCAACTTACAAGGTATGTCTGTATTTAGATTGCTCTTGGGGCCCTGTATCACCACAATGGAAGAGTCTGCTGCTTGGGGGATTTCTGACATGCTGTGCTCAATGCCCTCTTTGACGTGCCAAGCGCCACCACCTCTGATGCGTCCTCCCCTGTCCTTCCCATTGAGTTTTTCACCAGAGATAACCGTACCCTGCTGGTTCTCTTCCAAACAGTTTCCTTTATGTCCCCTATATCAATGCTGTCTTCTAAGGCCATCTTGGCTCGGAGGCTTCTAGCAGTAGCAAGCAAACACTTGAATACAGTCTCTCTCTTCACGTGTCTTTGACACTTGCCTTTTGAGCTGCGGAGCAGTGGCCTCTCTGAATTGCTGCCCTGTCCCCTTGCACATATAATGCCTTGCTTTGCACACACCCCATTTAAATTTTCCTCAGTTTCATCCTCTTCATCTCAGGGAGAAAATTTGTTTTGAACTGGACCTTACTTGGCTCCCTTCAGCTCCCCCCACAATCGGTTTTATAGCTACTCTGCCACCTTTTTCATTTCAAGCACCAATGGTCTGGTTCCAACCTGGTTCAAGTGGAGCCTGTGCCTTTTGTACAGGCCTAGCTCGCCCCAAAATGTTCCCCATTGCCTCACAAATCCAGAGCCCTCTTCCTGACACCATCGTCTCTTCCACACATTGAGACCACAAAGCTGTGCCTCTCCAGCTGTCCCTGCCCATGGAAGCCAAGGCGTTGGAGGTCCTGGCTTACAGCATCCTACCTAGCAACCTAAATTTGGCTCCTGGGACCTGATGACTGGGTTTTCCCATGTCAGTGGTGTCAATGTGCCCCACAACCACTGATTCCTCCCCTGCACTATCAACCAGGCTCTCAAGGTGATGAGCAACACCAACAACCTTCACACCAGACAGGCAGGTAATATCCTCTCTGGTCTGCTTGTCCATCCTGCACCAAACAATCTATGTTTTTAACTATTGAATCAGCTGCTGCCAGGATCCCTCCACCCCCTAGAGAGCTTTCCTTGACACGAAAGCACGAAAGGATAGCTCTTCTTCCTCCAAGGAAATGGTCCATTCAAAAGAAACATTCCCATCTGCCTCAGAGCGACACTCTTCTTCCTCAAGCCCCCCCCCCTTCTCCCCTGACAGCAGAGGCGCTATCTTCGGGAGAGTGGGGTGCATCTATAACATCCCTGAAGACTTCACCCACCAACCTCTCTGCCTCTCTTAGCTTTTCCGTGTCTTCCTGTAGCTTCCTGCTGAAAATCTTGTACCTTTTTATGCCACAAATGTTCTGATTTATCTTTTTGTTCCCCCCCTTTTTTTTTTGCTAAAGTGCAACAGTACCTGTTCAGGTGGCAATACTGCAGCAACACAAGGGACACATTGCAGGAACGCAGAATGATGTGCGGGCGTGTGGTGATCTAGCACTAATACACCATTGTTGTGTCAGTGTCATGCTGGCCACAAAAAACATCTGCTAGTCTGAAGGGCCCTAAGCAAGGCAGGAGAGGAGAAAGGTTCTGCTCCCCTCAATTGAGAAGGAATGCAGGGGGGAGGATGTTAAAATAGGATGCCCAGCCCTGCTTTATACGCAGGTGGGGTAGAGATGTGAACAGCAAACATGGCAGCTGACATTATGTTTTGTTTGGTTCTAATGGTTCTATTATTTTTATGGTTTGGTTGGTTACTTTTATTTTGCATTTTGTAGCCCGCACTGCTATCTTGAATTGGGTTGGGTTATAATGATTTCAAAAACGGATAAATAAAATATACTTTTGTGATTACTCACAAGGTAGTTTCTGTTTGCCTGAACACTCTAGCAGTGACCAGTACAGGAAGAACAGCAGCTTAGAACTAATGTCAGCGAATGCGAACATTAGGATAGTAGAAGTACTTCACTTCCAGATTTCCATATATTTATAAAGTATTTTAATTAATGTAAAATCAAGGAAGGAAGGATGAAGGACAACACAATCAAAGTTTTAAATTTAGGAGCAAAACAGAGCTTGTATTTTCTAAATAAGTAAAGAGCATATAATTTAGAGGGGGGAAATAAAAGCAGCAAAAAACACAGAGCATCAGTCCAAATGTTGGAGCCAGAGGGTATTCCCACCATCTAGATTTCTTTCAAATATCATTGTTATTAGTTGTTCCATTAGGATTTTTAATTTAAAAAGTGGAGTACAACTAAAATATGTTTGGTGCTGACTGTCCTTGGAGAGGACAGTGTCGACAACTGGCCTTCATTTAAAAAAAAAGAGGCAGAGTGTAATCTCGTGTCACTCTGCTTTCGTATATACAGATCATTTATCTTCTGATAAGGGACCATCTTTCCTTAGAATTAACAACTTCCTGGGCAGCTGGATCTCACAGATGAATTGTTTCGACAGTATTCCTTTTCAAGGTCTCTTTACTTATCTGAGATTCCCTATCATATTAGAGAAGAAGCAGATGTATTTCAAAACAAACTCGTGCCTCTTTAAGACATGAAACAAAAAGGGGGAAATGTAAATGGCGTAACTATGAGGGGCTCTTGACTGGCTTCAAACCAGGTGTGGGGAACCTCTCCCCCCCCCCATGTTGCTGAATTACAGCCCCATTATCCTAGCAAGCATGGCCAATGACCAATGGCTTTCAACTGATGCGGGGTCTTGTGTTTCGTATAATGGCGAGTCACAGACTCATGCTGCGAAGAAGGAGGTTCGAAACTGATAGGATTACTTAGGTGGTGTTTCTTGTGGTGTGGGTTGTTGTTTTCATTAGAACCTGTAACAGTGGCCAAGATTCTCACTATTAAGATTCCTTGGCTTGTTGGCAGAGTGAGGTTCTCCCCGCATCCACCTACAGGAGTTGTTATTTTCATTTTTTAGCAACGGATCACCAGTGAAATCCAATCATAACTTTGTCCACAGGCCCTTCCCTGCATTTCAGTCACCACCAACACCGTTCCCTGTCATAAGGCTGCTTATCTCTTACCCCAGACAGCAGTTGGCCCTTGAAATCACCACTTGGAGCAAGAGTGTGTTTCTCCATAGGAGGGGAATTGAGGACAGGACCATAAGGGGGATGGTTGGGTGAGGAGAAGCAGCTCCCACTCCAACGAGGACAGCATGTAGTGCCTTGAGAAGAGGTGGCAGCCCTCTTCATCCCCATCTCTTCTAGATATCCCATTTATTGTACCACTCACAGCCCCCATTCCCTGCTTTGCCCACTCATTATTCCCCACTTCCTCTTCCTTCTCACAGGCTCCACACACGCACCATGTCTTCCATGCACGGAGCAGATCACTTGGTCTACATTGGATCACAACCCACCAGGCCACCATATTGTATGACTTGCTAAGTGACTGTGGTGCCACCTTGTTGGTGATACAGTGGAATGATTCTGGCTCTGAGTCCGTCATATGCTGTGTTGTCCTTCTGAACTCTTAAAAACCCATTCTGCCCTTGTCGTGCTTTACCCCATTTTAATCAACGTGCTTCCCCTCCTTCGCTTTGCATTCCCCTGTCCTTTGATATATTTTGTGGATGGGCTCTCCATGGGCCCTGCTTCCTTGTCCAATATTCTTAAACTAGATCCAATGTAAGTTCTGGGGGCACAAACCCTTGTCACTACTGGTAAGTAATTTTCTCTAGGAATCTATACTTATTGAGCCAGTTTTACTTTTTTTTTTTTTTTTTTATTCTGTTGCTTTGCAGATATTCCGTTCCAGTCAATTTTATTTGGTTAACTATCTGCCTTATCTTTGAGTTCCTTTAAACATACATTTTTTGGTGAGGTTTGCCATATTTTCAAGGCCATACTATTGGATACACCAGATGTGACCGGATGATGCAAAGTAAAATACATGGATTAAAAAAAAAGTCACATTTTTTTCTTGTTTTTGTTTTCCCTTTTTGCTTTTTGTGCTCAAATGACCCTCCAGGACAAAGACAAAGTAAGTGACGGCCCACCTTTGCCTGCTCCGCCCTATAGTGGGAATCTCATCATCTATTTCTGAATTGCTCTTTTTGAATTTATTTATTTTTATTTTTTTACTTTCTTTTTTAAAAATACCAAAACACCCTTCTGTCTCCATGTCCCAAAAGACATGCCTTCCTCCCTTCCTCTTCTCTGCACTTCCTGCCACATTCGCCTGTTTAATTTCTTTCCATTCTTCTTGCTTCTGTTTTCCTTTTACTCGTCTTGAGTGTCCTTGTCTTTGGAATTTGATTGCCCAATTTCTGAGTTGCTTCCAAATGAGCCTTTGCCCCATCTTGGGTTCTTGTTTTTAGAGTCTCTCCGCTTCCTCATTGTCCCGATTTCCAATCCCCTTCATCTTCCGTTTCCAAAACCGCAGTGATGCTTTCATCAACCATTTGTGACAAAACCACAAAGGAAGAAAGTTGGGTTGGGGGTGGAGAAAGAGACCTGAGCTGAAAGAACCTTCCTCTGTGAGAGACTGTTGCCGCCCCCCCAAAAATCTGTCTTGGCTTGATGCCCCTGTGTTCTAGGGAAGAAAATAAAATGAATGATCAAAAGGAGTAGGTGGGCACCCTAAGTATGGAAAGAAGCATTGCGCCACGCAGCTGTTGGAAAAACACCCTGGGGGTGCCCCTTCTGCAGCCCCCAAACTCCGAGCGTCCTCCAGTATGCGCAGCTCTGGAAAAGACATTTCCCTTCTTCTCCAGTGCGCTTCAGCGGCATATATCAAATGATATATGCACACTAATCTTCTAGCAAAACACAGCAAGAAGCGTGAGACATCGTAGAGCTAATCTACGTATTTATTTACTCACTATGTACAGACAAAGGAGTCATGGCGTCCTCTCTCTCCAGCTCCGAGAGGGAAACAGAGGAACAAGTAAAAGCAAAAGTACAGTACAATAATACATACAACGGAAGAGATAAGCCTGTCTTCCGTTCCCACACTCTTCCCAGACAGGCATGTGATTTACACCAATCTCACCCTCAGCATCGGAGGCGTGAAATACTAACATCCTCCCCCATTTCAGGTAACCGATGCTGCATAGGCTAACACAGCAGTAAGTGAAGTAAACATACAGTTGTCATACGCATAGTATACCCCTGTAGTACCTGTCCCACTTGTGGGACTACTCGCCACTGGACTGGCCTCATGCCTGACCACCTTGCACTTCTGGGCACCTTCCTTCCATGAGACTAGAGCCCTAGCTCTGTTCCTGTTGTGGGCTATAGTGGGGCGAAGAACCTGTGGTCTTTTAGATGTTGTTGGGATCCAGCTCCCACTCTCCTTGAGCATTGGCCATGCTGGCTGGGGCTGATGGGAACTGGAGTCCAACAACATCTGGAGAGCCACAGGTTCCTCTTCCCTGGATTAGACCCTACTACATCATGTGCTTAAAGTGTGTCCTCATCTGGCAGTTTTATATGGGTAAACTGCTGAACTAGAGTTTGTCAGCAAACGTTGATTCCTGATTTGTTTAGGACTCAATCAAGACCACTGACCTCTCTCCCAGTACAGATGTTTTAAATGAGCATTGCTGAAGATTGCATTATTGCCAATGACTGCTGCTGTGAGCTTCCCGTGGGCTTATCTTGTATATGTCTAGGCTTCGTATAGAAATGCCACAAAATTGTCTCTTCCCTTTCATGGCCTCTTGAGAATACTTATTTCAGCTTATCTAATCTAGCTATCTAACCATTTAACACTTTGGGCAAATTCACAGAAATTGGTGTAGGTGTCTTCTAATCTGTATAGTGTTTTATAGGCAAGGCGAGCCAACATAAAGCTCATTCATTTAACCAGAAAGCATCCTCATGCATCTATATGTAATAAAATACCTAAGGAGTATCGTAGGAGATTCTCCAAGCTCTCTCGTTCCTGCTTTGGGAAGGGGGCACCTGATTGGTCAAGCTCTAGCAGCTCAGCATCCTCCCCCCATCCCAGGGCTGGAATTGAGAAGAACCAGAGTGAGGATCCAAAATTTCTGGGGTGTGTGTGTGATTTGGATATATTTGGAAATTAGGTAAGAATGAGGCCATCAGCTCTGAAGTGACAAGCCCCATGTCTTCTCATGGTGTTTCATCAGTTCCTCAGCCCTTCCCTTTTTTTGCCCCTGGAGGTGTGGCGTGTGTTTGCCTTGCTAAAGACACAACCTGTTTCTTCAACATCCTACATAGGCCAGTGAGTCGGAAGAGAATGGATCTGACAGCTTGATGCATTCCATGGACCCTCAGCTGGAGAGACAGGTGGAAACCATCAGGAACCTTGTAGACTCCTACATGGCCATTGTCAACAAGACCATCCGTGACCTCATGCCTAAGACCATCATGCACCTTATGATAAACAATGTATGTATCCCATCAAACAGTCTATGGGACTGCATGTAACCTAGGACAGTGGAGGCCCAATGTGAGGTAACAGCTAGAATGGGAGACTAAGACTAGGAAGACTGGGCCGTTGGCATGCATATTGTATTAGGAAAAACAGTCTTCTATAAATGCTTCCTCAAAAGTGGGTCCAGCTACATTCAATGGGGTTTACTTCCTGTTAAGTAAGCTTAGAGTAGCAAAAATAGATGCTTAATCTTAGACAAAGGGGCCTGGAATATCAGGGTAAGTTAAAGGTAAAGGGACCCCTGACCATTAGGCCCAGTCGTGACCGACTCTGGGGTTGCAGCGCTCATCTCGCTTTATTGGCCGAGGGAGCCGGTGTACAGCTTCCGGGTCATGTGGCCAGCATGACTAAGCCGCTTCTGGCAAACCAGAGCAGTGCACGGAAACACCATTTACCTTCCCGCCGGAGCGGTACCTATTTATCTACTTGCACTTTGACGTGCTTTTGAACTGCTAGGTTGAACTGCTAGGAATCTCAGGGTAGGGGTTACCTAAAAAGTGGCCTAGGCAGATAGCAGTTTAAATGTTTATATTGCAGATCTACTCTGAATGGTGACTGCCTCTGTTTCCCCCTTTGGTAGACAAAGGACTTTATCCACTCGGAGCTGCTGGCAAACCTGTATTCCTGTGGAGACCAAAACACACTGATGGAAGAATCAGTCGAGCAAGCCCAGCGGCGTGACGAGATGCTGCGCATGTACCATGCCTTGAAGGAGGCACACCACATCATCGGGGACATCAACACCACCACCATCAGCACTCCCTTGCCTCCGCCGGTGGACGACTCCTGGCTGCAGGTGCAGAACATACCGTCCGGACGCAGGTACCCGAGGCTCAGGGGGAGGCCCCTGCAGACCTTCCTGAGGCCTCTTTTAGCAACTTAGGTGGGCCCCACTGCTGGAATGGGAAGCTTGGGCACTGGAGCATTGCAGTTCAGCAAAGCAGCCACATTTGTGCTCACAAAGCATCACAAGGGTCGCTGGGACCTTGGTGCTCATCCAGCACACAAAAGGCTTGTGGAGGATGAAGGTGGATGGCGGCCAGGGGCGCAAACTTGAATAAAATGGGGGGGAGGTAAGCCCCACCCCGCACAATTGATCTCAAGACATGCTGTACACACACGATTTGAATGGCAATGTTCATCCACTTTGTGGGGCTCAGCCCCTTCAAATATTTTATTGGGGCCCCCGAAGAGATCTCGGTCCCTAGGAGGGATTGCTACACATGGTGTGTACACGATCCTCACACCTTTGCCTCAGGTAAACAAGTAGGCTGTAGTAGTGTTGCAAATCCTGTAAACACTACTGCAGGATTTGCACCTACTTGGCAAGGGAGACCAAGAGGCAAAAGACATAGCCACCAAATACATGGGCGCCTCCCTCCCTCAAAATGCTGCCATCTCCCTTGAAAGTGGTTTTGTCTCTAGCCTGGGTTCTTTAAATGTGCCAGAGCACCTTCTCATCCTGTGGGCCTGCCGCAGCAGTGAAACCCTCTCTCTGTTCAATAGGTCTCCCACATCCAGCCCTACACCCCAGAGGAGAGCTCCTGCAGTCCCCCCAGCCAGACCTGGATCGCGAGGCCCGGCTCCTGGACCACCGCCTGCTGGTGGTCCCACTCTGGGTGGTGCTCCTCCTGTGCCCTCTAGGCCTGGGGCCTCCCCTGATCCTTTTGGGCCTCCCCCTCAGGTTCCATCTCGGCCCAACCGTGCACCTCCCGGTGTCCCCAGGTAAGTCTGGCTGTGCAGTGGGTGGGCGGGAAGGGAAAAACAGGCTCTGGCCACCAGCTGCACTAGAACCTCATGAACCTCAGCCCGCTTCCTAGGGAGTCAGGCCCACTGAACACAGCGAGGATTCCTCCAGAGTAAATATGCTTAGGGTTGTGCCATTAAGTGCCTTTCCCGGTGCTCAAGGTAGTAACTGGATTCCCCAACTGCTGCTCATGAGAACTTGCTCATTCTTTGCATGCTGAGCTTCCCTTTGGGAGAAGATGTTGGGATCTTTTTTATCCTTTGGTGGATCTGAGGAAAAGGTGGTTTGGGAGATCACTGGAGGCAGCAGCACTGCCTGGAGTGGTGTGCTGGTGTTGAAGAAGATCTGTCATAATGGCTAGGTGCAAGGGCCTCGTTAGGGAGAAAGCCTAGGACAGTCCTGGCTCCTATAGTAGGCCTCAAATCACCTTCTTCCACCATTTTTAAAACTTTGCTTAGGTTGTCCATCCTGGCAGCCAGGGAAATGTGGGCATGGTTATAAGGAAGCACGTTCCGAAATTTAGGAGAGGCCAAGTTCAGTACAAATAGGAACTACTTATGCAGATTTCATGTAAATCTGTCTCATGAGCTACTGCCCCCAGACCTTTGAGCGCCTGGGATGTAGGTGAGAGAATTCTAGAGAATTTCTTACTAAGCATTTTCTATCCTTTTCTGATGCAGGGCTTTCAGTCAGAGTAGGAAGTCACTTCAGTCTAGAGTCTTAGGGCTTTCTTGTGTGACACCACCCCACCTGTCCAGTGGTTCTTGCAAGAAAGAAAGTGTTATATTATTGATTGAGGAGGAGAACTGTATTTCACCCCCTTTGTGATGAATTTCCAAGGTAGAGAGCCCCATAGAAACAGACCCCCACTCCAGCCAGAGCAACCAGGTCCTCCCTGAGGGAAACATGGTTCTGCCAACTTCTCTTTCTATAACATGAAGAAAGTTTAGCCAGAATAAGATGTTGCAGAAGACTACAACTGAGAATGATAGCAAAACTTGTTTCCTATAGAACAGCACCACGGACTTTTACGTGAAGATCAGTCCAAACGAGTTCGGTGAAGGTACTCCCAAGTAAATACGCATAATTCTATGCATGTTTACCAAGAACTTAAGCTGCAGTCCTGACCCACCTGCCTGGGAGTAAGCCCCATTGACTTCAATAAGACTTACTTCTGGGTAAATATGGTTGGGAGACTTGCACTGCTAAGTCGTACAATGGGAGCATGACCTGTGGAATGCGGTGGGCCTTGATTAACAAACAGACATGTAAAAGACCAGGCTGCTGCACGTGGTTTTTGTGTGTCTGGAAATACTTTGTTTTGCAAATGATACAGAAACATTTGGGAAGAGTTTTGTTGCTGATATTTAACTGCTGATCTTAACCAAAAGAAGGCTGTCTTTTTTTTATTTATTTATTTGTTCGTTCATTGTTTGTTTGTTTGTTTGTTTGTTTGTTTAAATAGCAAGTAGCTGTCCAGAGCTGGTATTGGGGGTTTTTTTTACGTGTGAGTAGGGAACTAGGTATAAATGCTTCATTTCAAATAGCTGAACTTGAGAAACTACTGTGGGAAGATTGTCGATAAAGCTTTTGTTTCACTGTTGCTTCCTACTGAGAAAGGCTGCTCAGGGTGTCTTAAAGGAGTTGGCTGGGACTTGCCTTATCCTCTTAATTAGCAGAATTTCCTGGCAAAGCCCTTGACCTGAGTTGAAAACATGGATCAGGACTTTTCTGTCATTGAACATGAGGCTGTTTGATCACATTAACTTTTATTATGCTCCTGTTTTTTTGCACCCCTTGAACAGTGAGAAGACTTAAGTCATTAGCAATTCACCTGACCTACAAACTGAGCAATATTGGTTTAACAAATCTCAGGAGTTGCAGTTTGCTGAGAATACTCTGCTGGGGATTCCCCCATCACCCACCTCCTCAACTATATGTCCCAGGGCAGTTTCCTCGGAAGAAGGAATGGCTATTTAACCAGTTTAAGTCTGTGGTGCAGATACACTCTGCCACGAGGCAGAGTGAGGTGGATTCCTCAGGTGGCAGGTGCTGAGGAGTAGAGAGATGTTGGAGAGGAAAACTGCATGTAGCCTGCCCTGAGCCCCTTAAGCCAGCTCCCTGCCCTTTGCTGTAGGAGATGCTGCCCCTTCACCAGTGGCGATGCAAGATTTAGCTGTCTTCGTTCTGCTTGATGATTCAGGCAGGTTCCATTTGCTGTACCTTCACATTATCGTTTGAAGTAAAGCACAAAACCTAGAAAATTATAATTTCCCCAATCCCAGCTCTGGGCTGTTCAGCTGTACCACTCTTACTTGTGTGGGCATACTTGTTACAGGATGGAGTCAGAGGTAAGTCCAGAGGGAAATCTCAGCTTTGCAGTGCCGAGAGGAAAACTCCACACTTTCTGCCTGCAGCTCTCATGCAGGCATCGCTCACCCAGAGGTTTGTGGGTGCCCGTGAGTGTGTCATAAAAAGAGCTGCAGCATATCCTTAAGGACTTCGCTGTCTGTGACAATTTGCTGTGTAAGTTCGTGGATGCTGCTGTGCGTGAGGAGGCGCCCTTTCTGGGGAGGGCCTGTCTCTCATATCAATATCTGATTGTAAGGGTTTATAGACTGGTCACTGCCTCCGACGGCCACTTGGGTACAGGACGGTGCTTGCTGATAATGACCTTGCCTGGCTGAGTGGGGCCTTGTTCCAACCAGATATTTGCTCTGCAAACACACCACAGATCTAGATTAGGATCAGGCATGGACGAGCCTGGAGAAGGTGCAGGACACTGGCTTATGTGTTGGTTGCAATAATAATAATAATAATAATAATAATAATAATAATAATAATAATAATGAAAAAGCAACACTTTGGCATGCAAATGGTTAGTTATACCCACCTGCTTTCTAGATGTGCAGGGTCTTCTCCACAGGCCCAGTTCCTTGTTTACAGCATCCTTTGGCCAGGGCCTGTTACCATGTGCTGCTGCTGCTGCTGCTGCTGCTGCTGTCGTCTGTATTGTTGCCTGTTCTTGCTTCTCTCTCTCCTTGCTTCTCTCTGCCATTTTCTTCTTCCTTTTCCTTTTTTTTTTGAATTCAGTTATAATCTGCTTTGCTTTCTGCTGCTTTACCTCTGTGTGCAGTTCTCCCTGTCTCCCCAACACATTTCTCCATTGCCATTCTCTCTCTCTCTCTCTCTCTCTCTCTCTCTCTCTCTCTCTCTCATCCTCATGGATTATATATTCTATATACAGGCAGGCTGAAATGAATGAGGTTTTGCTCTCTACTTCATCTCCTCTCTGACTTTTATCTCCTACACAACGCCACATTTCCCCCTTGTAAATGTTCGGTTTCTGGGCCTAGGGGCACTGCCAGGCAGCAGCAAAGAATAGTGTAAGGAAAGTGTGTGTGTGTTTGCACACACCTGACTCCTAAGAACCACACCTCTGGTCGCCTGTCCATCTGACAGAGAATGGGAGACATTGTGGCCCAGGCCATGTGATCCGGTCAGCTAGCTTCTGGGATCGCTATTCCTTCCCTGCCCTGAAACCTTTTAATATCATCAGAAGCTGTTTTGTGGACACTTAGAGCATGGGCGTAGTGGGGGGGGGAGGGGCAGCTGCCCTCAAAAAATCAAGTAAATAAATAAAAATAACTAATTGCGTTGCAGATAACATTCCCCCCCCCCAACATAAAGCCTGCCCTCCCCGATAAATCCTGGCTATGTCCATGACTTAGAGCAGGCTTCCTCAACCTCGGCCCTCCACATGTTTTGGGACTGCAACTCCCATCATCCCTAGCTAGCAGGGCCATTGGTCAGGGATGATGGGAATTGTAGTCTCAAAATATCTGGAGGGCCAAGGTTGAGGAAGCCTGCCTTAGAGAGAGAGGGGGCCATTTCCACAATTGCACCGAAGTGGGTTTTGCCTGCATGACTCTTCCTGAACCTCTGGCAAAATGTCTAGGGGCTGCCAGGACTGGGTGGGTCAAGGAAGGGGGTGGGAGCTTGTCGTTTGCATTGTTCAGCTGAAACATGAAAGTGACCAGTCAGATCAGGTTGTATCCAGTGAAGTCCTACTCAGAGCAAGCCCATTTAAAACAGTGAACCTAAGTTAGTCCTGCCCATCAGTTTCAATGGGTCTGTTTTGAGTAGGACCAATAATACCATATTTACTCAAATCTAATGCTTACCTTCTTGGCCAAATTATGTTGTAAAAATTAAGGTGTGCATTAGATTCGACGGCACATTTACATTTGCCAGCAAATACTTTTTTTGCTTTCAATGTTCTGAACATTGAGGTGCACATAAAATTTGATGGTGCATTAGACTTAAGTAAATACAGTAATTTTATTATTTGTACCCCACCCATTTGGCTGGGTTGCCCCAACCACTCTGGGCAGCTCCCAACAGAATATTAAAAACACAAGAAAACATCAAACATTAAAAACTTCTCTATACAGGGCTGACTACAGATGTCTTCTAAAAGTCAGATAGTTGTTTATTTCCTTGACATTGGATCGGAAGACGTTCCACAGGGAGGGCACCACTACCGAGAAGGCCCTCTTCCTGGTTCCCTGTAACTTCACTTCTTGCAGGGAGGGAACTGCCTGAAGGTCCTCGGAGCTAGACTGAATGATGGAGTGGAAACGCTCCTTCAGGTGTACTGGGTTGAGGCCGTTTTGGGCTCTACAGGTCAGCACCAACACTCTGAATTGTGCCTGGAAATGTACCAGGAGCAAGTGTAGATCATTTAGATGCTTTAGGATACATTTAGCCCCTAATGGATACAACCATTCAGGGGCGTCGCAAAGGGGGTGCGGGGGATTTGGTCCTCCCTGGGTGTCATGCTGGTTTGTGTGACAAAATCCCCCTGGGTGGATCGTCGTGGTGGTGCTCGCACTCCCGGCGGACGGATTTCATCGTGAAAATCCACCCGCTGATAACGCAAATACGCCCGGCAATCAGCCTGGCACCTTCTGGCGGGTGGCACTCGCGGGCGGTTTTATGCGATCGGCGGTCAGATTTTCACGATATTGGCTGGCGTATCAGTTTCGTGGCCAACCCTCCCTAAAAGTCATCCCTTTGGGGGTGGGGTGGGTGCCAGACACCCACTTTGGGGTCACCCACTTTGGGGCACCCATCCCACTTTGGGGGTGGGGTGGGTGCCAGATACCCACTTTGGGGTGGGTCACCCACCTTGGGGTACCCTAAAAACAGCTCAAAAATTTTGGGGTGCCCTCTCTAAAAATTGCCATGTGGGGGGGTGTGACAAAAAAATTTTCACACCAAGTACCAGCTGACCTTGCTACGCCTCTGCAACCATTCATGTCTCAGAAAAAGATATATACGATATGAAATTTTGACAGCATCGAGGAAAGTAGACCTGTTAGGCTGTTGCATTTTAAAGACAGTCTTATAATACATTAGAGACCTAACACAAACTTTTTCTGGACCACAAGGGGACTCAAATGTCCACAAATATTTATGCTACAGCAATATTTGTTAGTCTTTAAGGTGCCAAGATGTTGATAATACTTGAGTGGCTCAGCTCGAATGATTTCCAAGTGTTTCCAGATTCTCTCTCCCTCTTTCTCTCCCCTCCCAACTCTTTTATTCCACTCTGTCGTTGGCCCACTCCAACACCATTGGTCAACAGCCCCCAGATGGCAAGTCAGTCCTCCTTGCTCCATCTCTTGTATATAGAATAAGAGAGTTCACGCTGGCAGTTGGGCTTGAGTTTGATGGCCACAAGTGAACAGACAACCATCTTCATTTGTTGCTGTTCTGTTTCTTCTTCTTCTTTGTTTTTCTTCTTTTAACACAAATTTGGCCTTCCCACATTGCGCGGGGAATATTGAAGGGGGGCCCAGCATTTCAGCCTTTGAGCTACACACGTTTGTTTGTTTGTGTGTGTGTGTGTGTGTGTGTGTGCGCGCGCGCGCGCGTGTGTGCGTGCGTGCACTTCATCAATGGGTGTCAAATCTTTGTTTGCTTTCTTTGAAATGTGTGCATGAGAGAGAAAGCCTGTGCACAAGAGTGTAAAGCCTGCACCTTGTTTTCTGTGTGGAGTATTTTGGGGTAGATCAATATTTATACAAATGCCAGGTGGTAAAAGGTTGAGCACATGTAATAATTATTATTAAGGCTGCAACCTAAAGAAATGAATTCTAATAAGACATAGGACTTTTGAATTGGTTATTTGTTGATTAAGTGCACATAAATTTACATATTGTTTCTGAAGCAAGAAACATCCCCTCTTTATAATTTTAGATGATCCATAGGTTGTAGCAGACATCATCTTAGAAGAGTCAGTCCTACAAGATAGAAAGGGGAGGCATATATTTTTAAAGATGGTACTTGCTGTTTGCAGTTTTTATAAGTGCTTGCATATGTTTAGAATTATCGGCTGCCATGTTAACTGGGGACAGATAGTAGGTTAAGGCTGCAATCCTATACCCACTTACCTGGGAGTATGCACCAGTGAAATACTTCTAAGTAGATATGTGTAGAATTGCACTGTAAAGGTCTTTTTAACAAATTAATTTACAAGGTCTATGAGCAGGGCTGAGGTGCATATGTTTGCTTGTTAGCCCTGAAGCTGTGGCCTTGTTGTTACCCAAGTGTAAGATGCTGTTGAATATAACCTTACACCTGACAACTGTTTGGTGCAGCGATGGGGGAACCTGTGACCTTGTTGCTGGACTGCAACTCCTATCAGCCTCAGCCAGCATGGCCAACAGCCAGGAATGATGGGAGTTGGAGTCCGTATGCACTCGGGGGGGGGGGGAGGCTTCAATCTAGCCACCTCTGGTTTAGTGAGATGGTCCAGTAATCTGAAGAGGGCAGCTTTGACAAGGGGAATTTTCACACAATATAATGAGAATAGTCCCTGTTTGGGCATGTGCGTAAGTAGTCTTAGTTCTGAATGTGTGAGAATGCAGCTTCTGTGTTTGATTGAGAAAGGAAGCCATTTGCGTTGTAAGTACCTTAAAACACCTTATGTGTGACTTGTGGGAGAAAGCTTATATTCTTCCTGAAGTGCATTGCTGCCAGACAGCCAGTGGCGTAGCGTGGGTTGTCAGCACCCAGGGCAAGGTAAGTAATTTGCGGCCCCTAACCCATGGATTTGCGCCCCCTAACCCTAAGCCCCAGATGTTGCGCCCGGTGCGGCCGGCCCCCCCTGCACCCCCCACGCTACGCCACTGCAGACAGCTGTCTTCTAGGAATTACCCCATCTGAGCAAGACAAGGGAATCAGTTTTCCTGCACTAGCAAGATACTGGGGTGCAAACTTTATGGAAAAGAACAGCTGACCCTTCAGATGTGGATGGACTCCAGCTCCCATCAGCCACAGCCAGTGATCAAGGCGATGGCAGTTAAAATACAAAGATCATCAGGGGGACACAGAAGGTGTACCTTTCAAATAGACATTCATACCTTGAACGATGCAATTCTGGCTGTGGATCTGCATTCACTCTTATTTGGAATGACGTGCAGACTTCCAACCTGGATTCAGTTTGGGAGTAACCAGTATTGCCTGTTTCCAGTACATGCCAGAGGGCTGATTGGCCGTCCTTTGTACCAATCCTGGAGTGTCTCTTTTCCTCTTTAGCCAGCTGGCTGTGCAGAGTGCTGATTGGCTGACTCTTGTGGCACTTCCAAAGTCAGTCCCCGGCCACCCGAACAACATTTCCACTTAAAAAACAAACAAATGCACTGTTTGGTTTTTAAGGCGTGGAGTAAACATTTTAACTAGACAAGTGAGTTAGGTACCTGGGGGTGGGGAATGGTGTGGGTTTTTAAAAGCCTCCCTGAAATGTGGAGGGAGGGTCAGAACTATATGCTGGAGTCTGCTTGGCAAGGTGTCCAGCACATTTTGCTGCCTCTGGTGAAGAACCAGATGGCTCCCTCCCCCTCCCCATTTGCCCTCCATGTATAAAAGTCAGTCAGGCTGCTAGTTAAGTCTTAATTATTATTTTTAATTCATAAAATTTATACAACCTTGATTGTAAAAAACAAGAAACAGATAAACCTCAGAGTAGTTTACAAACAGACTAAAACAATAAAACAGGGTAAACAAAAAAACAAACATGACTCATTAAAACATTCAAAATATTATAGTATTTCATACCTTTTACACACCATGTACCCCAGCACGGGTTCCAGAGCAAGGCCATCTGCTGTACCCAAGGGCGCAGGCTCACCTCTGTCCTCCAACACCTTCGCCACAGCTCTGCACGTGCACGCCCACCCCCAAGTATCTGCTGCCCAAGGCAGCTGCCTCATTTTATCTAATGATAGGGCTGCCCCTGGCAGGAGGAAAGAATACCCTGCACTCACTTCTGGAGGCAGGTAAGTTTGTACACAGCCTGCCAGTCCTTTTGTGTGCCACTGCCCTGTGGGTGGCTGAAAATGTTGGCTCGTGCACAGGTGTGCATGGCTGTGGCTGTGTGAGTGTGCATGGGGTGCAAGTGTCCTGGCGTGTGTCGTATGTGTCTGTTGTACATGCTGGTGCAGGCAGAGTTTTGTACCTTGCAATGGAATTGTGGTATGCGAGGATGCAGACATCCTTGTGTGTGTGGTTGTGTGGGTGGGTGGGTGCAGCTGCAGATTTCCATCTTCCTTTCATTGTCCTCGCACATGTATGCAGTATTGGTCATAGTGCTTTTTCACAAGTATCTGTGTGCACGCACGTGTGCATGTGCACACGAGTGTGTGACTCATTTTCCAGACTTGCGTGGCCTCTTGCCTCAAATTGTCTGAACAGCCATGTTGCTCTCGTGTTGTCTTTCAGAATCACTATCAGTGACCCTTGAAGATTGGCAGCTACGGTACGTTCTTCACTCCCACTCACCCCGCCTCCCTCAGCCTCTAGTGATGCATGACTCAGTGTTAGTCTTATCCCACCCAGCCATGCCTTCCCATTCCCCTGTCCTGCCACCTGCCTCTCCTAGGTAGTTCTTAGAGATATCCTGGTCTTCAGAAGCAGGCCCTGCAAATTCCTGCTCGTTAGAGCATTGTAGTGGAAATGTGGTGGGAATTTTTTTGCTGCAATTAATTTAAATTATGTGAAAAGAAAATAATTTCCCCACCGCCACCATCCCTAATAGTCCTCTTAAGTCCCATAGAATTGGACAGTTTGGAACATGATTTTGAGAGGGAGGGAGGAAGAGAGTGAGTTTGTGAAGGTCTTTTCTCCCCAAGCTTTCTTCCACAAACATTGGCCAGGATCCTCTCCTCTGGATCCTCTCCTCTGACTGGACTCAGGAAAAGAGGGAGGCCTCTCCCATCACCTTCTGCTACCCAAGGTCCTTCATCTGCTTAAAAAACTTGTGTTCCTCATGCCCATCCCTATGTCTCGAGTTATGTCCCTAGCATTGCTTCCCTTCAGATTCAGCAGGAGAAATTAGGGCCTGGTGAGCTTTTTTTCATCCCATACATTTTAACTGGGCTGGCACCAGAGCAAGACCAAGTCTCTTGGGGGCTTTCTCCACTCTCACTGACATCCACTTGGGTCTCTGGGTAGGGTCTCCTTGCAAACCACGAAGACTCTCCAGCTCTCTTCCGCTGAGTTTGAAATGAATCATTTAATAATTTCCTGATGCAATGCATCTACACGGTTGCACAGTTGATCACCCATCAAGGGGTTGGCACCTGCACCTATACTAGAAAAGGCTTGCCCTGTTTAAGTTGTGCCAGCCACACAGTTGTTAAAGGCACAAGGCATCATCTGCTTTATTCCTGGAACCATACACACTTCTCACAGCAAGCTGCTCCTGTTGGAAGAATGACTCTCTTCAGCAGGATATAGGAGATACCTCACATCCCTTCCTTCTGAGAGCTTAGCAACAGTGATTAAGTGACACAACATACTCAGCAACACCAGAGCACAGTATCTGCCTAACAAGCCTTAGGACATTGCATCAATGTTTTGCTTACTAACTTCCTGTTTGATTTACTTTTTTAAAAAATGAAAGCTAGTCCAGGAGGGAATGGACATGGAAGACCCCAAAATCATTCAAAATTCTATCCCAAATGAACTTTAATTCACCTTTATTTTACCCGACAATTATGGGAACTACTTTCAGGTGTAGTCCAGAGGTTTGTGAACCAGTTCAGTGAACTTTGTTCCGCTGGACTAGTTCATTCCAAGCTCTGTGACTTAAGAAACATCCCAACCCCACCCCAAACCCCTACCACTGCCACACAGCACCCTCCTTGTGAAACACAGCAGCTTGCAATAAAAGTTGCTGGGTCTCGAACTTCCCACTGAATGTGCTTAAACTTAACTCCTTTGGGATTCTGGTTCCATATCCCTTGGTACTGTTTTATTTGGTGTGTTGTGACTCTCAAGCCTCGCACACTGACACTCAGGGACGCACAAATTTCATGGCCACACCCCTGCCATGGAACACTGCCTTATTTGTTCCTTAACAAGGTGACCAAGTCTCAGTAAGTTCTTTGATCTATCTAGATACCTAATTTCACTTTATCCCTCCCATTCTATAAGATAAAAAAAATTCCTTCCAGTAGCACCTTAAAGACCAACTAAGTTAGTTCTTGGTATGAGCTTTTGTGTGCATGCACACAGAAGTGTGCATGCACACGAAAGCTCATACCAAGAACTAACTTAGTTGGTCTTTAAGGTGCTACTGGAAGGAATTTTTTTTGTTTTGACTATGGCAGACCAACACGGCTACCCATCTGTAACTGATTCTATAAGATGTTCAGGATAATGTACATGGTTCCCTGCCTTTATCTTCACAAGATAAAGTTTGGTTGTGTGACAGCGACTGGCTCAGAAAGCTTTGTGGCTGAATGGGGATTTGAGCCCAAGTCTCTCTAGTCTTAAGTGCGGCACTCTAACCATTACACCCCTACTGCCTTGAGATTTAGTCAGCTTGTTCCACATTGAACCTGTAAATGTGAAAAGACTGTAGGAGCCAAGCATCTCACTTGAACTTCGTGCTGTAAACTTTATTCCACCTTCTGACCCCCTGTACCCATTTTTTTCTTCATTGCAACAAGAGAGCCTTTCTAAGCCTTTCTTGCCTTCTCTGCTTCTATTTTCCTTTCTCTCTTCCAAAACTTTGCAGCAGCATATTTGTTGAACACCAAAGAAGGGCCTTGGCAAGCATTATTTTCTTTGGGGTTTCCAGTTAAGGTAGGAAGAGAATTCACAGCAAAAGGTAGGGCAGCAAAAGAGATACTTCGGCAATGAGGAATTGAGTATTAATAGGGCCCGGTGGGCATTAAAGAAACCCAATTGCAGATTCTGCAGCTGAGAAAGACAGGTTCTAAGAGTAACAGAGATAATAATAATAATATGCATTACATAACTCTACTTAGATTCACAGGATTTATTACACATTCAGTAATTCAGTTCCCCTCGCCTGCTTCGTGTGCATGTTTGCGTGTGCGTGCAAGAACAGTTACACAAGCAAAAGGGGTTTTTTTTCCTTCATAAACATGAGGACCAGACAAATTGGTTTTGTTTTTTGAAGTGTGATTATAAAAATGGTGTGGCCTGGGCCAGCTGACAGGTGCAAACCAGTGTTCTGGCTGGCTCATACAGCCTGTTCCACAGCAGTAATGAGAGAGAAGGGGAAAAGCCTTGGCTTTTGGTATATCCAAAGCAGGGACGATGGTTTCTTGCTCCCTAGCAAGCTCCAGTTAGGAAGCCCCCTGTCCTGGGGGTTGTTTGTTGCCAGGGGAGCAGTGAAGCAGGAGTAATTTGGCAGTATAATAAATCACACTGAGCTAGAAAATCTGTTTTATTGTTATTTGTGACCTGAGAGGCTGACGCTGTGTACACACTACAGCTTTTAAGCATATTTGTAGTGCAGTCTTTCCCTTCCAGAATTCTGGGCACTGTAGTTTCAGTTCCCAGCAGACCATAACAAACTACAGCACCCAGAATTCTGGAAGGGAAAGACTGCATTATGAACGTGTTGTTAAGGAACAAGGTGTGTGTGACCAAAGGGGTGGCCAAAGGCAGCAAGCTGTGGAATTGCAGTCACATGAAAGAGGCAGAGATAGAAAACGTTTCGTACATACTTGTCTTTGTACATGAATGTAAAATCTTGAAAAATGTCCCATTGTGAGGAGTATCTCCTGTAAATTTAATTAATCAATCATTTTTTATATTGTCACAGACCTACTAAGACAGAGTATACACAGAATAAAAGACACGAGCATTAAAACATACACTTACTTAACATACGATTACAAAAGATAAAAGCATGAGATACAAATGGAAATTAGCATGAATCTTCTTACGAGACCTTTGAGCCTAGAACAGGAACTTGGCCACTAATTCTGTTGTTATTATTTTGTATCAGCCAAGAAATATTCCAGGTGCCATTCCTGTGTCCTTCTGGGGTGTTTATTCGCAAGGGGGCAAAGTAGTCTGTTGCAGAAGGGAGGCAGTTAAATCTGGCCTTGTTTCTATTCTATAGATGCAAGGCCCGTCTCTGGCCATTGACTAGTGGTTAGCACTCACTATGGGATTCCAAAAAGGGGATGCAAAAAGTTCGAAAGAACACTCTCAACTGTTGAACTAAATTCCTGAATCCATATCGGAACGACATACAGCAGCTGAGACAAGATGTTAGCCTTATATACTTTCACGGCAGCAGGGATAAATTGTGCTCCCTTACTATAGAAAAAATGGAGTCCCACTTCATTGTACTCTGAGCAGCTTCTACCACCCATCTGTGTGGGGGTAGTCCAAGAAAGAGTGGAGGAAAACATAATGCCCCAAGTATCTAAACTTCTTGATTTGTGTCTATACGCCAACCACCTATTCTCCTCTTACTTATAAATCTGCATCTAGAAAAGACCATGATCTTTGTTGTGCTAAAATTAATTGTAGATGCATTATCCTTACGTAATACTAGAATGAATTTTCAAGGCCTGTTTTGGACAGAGGCGTAAGTACAGCATTTCCTGCCTTCAATGATAGTAAGACTTCAGCCCCTGCCCTTCTAAGTTTGATCAAGGCCATTGGTGTGGAGGAAGAGAGTGAGCGGAGAGCAGTGGCGTTCAGGTGGAGATGGTGATTTCTCCTTGGCACATCTCTGTATCATCCCCAGTGAACCTGTAGCTGTGGAGTGTGAGAGGTATACCATGCAGCTCAGGGGGACTGTAACTCGGTGTTCCATCATCACGGCAGTTTTGCAGTAACTGACTTGCTTCCAGAACATCATCTCTTTCCTGCTTCCTGTCAGCCCTCCTCAACAGCAGCTCAGAGGTTGCCATTCAGTTCTTGCCAGGCTGTTTGGTTGCAGGAGCTGGTCTTTTTGAGGAGGCTTGGCTGTTGCCCGTTCATCCTTCTGGGACTCGCTGTTGGGAAACTTTGCCTGCCCAGAGCCTGGATTTTACAAAGAGCACCAAGGAAGTCACAAACAATCATTTCCCTTCCGGTTTTGAGAGAAGAGCTGCATTTGCAGCCTTCGTGCATTACAAAGTTCCTATACAACTCCCATGTAGCAAATGCTTTTGTGCGTGGCGCGTGATGCGTTATGATCCTTCACACCTCTAAATAGCCACACAGTACACATGCTGGGAAGCTCTGCATCCTCAAGGCAGTGCTGACTTTAGATCACTTTACAAAATGGAGCCTTGTTCTGGTTGGAGCTCATTAAGCGGGGGGGGGGGGGGATACAAACGTAGGTTTGAGAGAGGAAAATGGTAGACCAAAGCAAACTCTTCCATGGTAAAGAGCAAGCCCTGGTGACAACTTCTGCTCACAGTGGTTTACATGCATGTAGGACTGTCACACAGATAATTTAACTTCTCTGTTAGTTATATTTATTGTGCAAGAGCCCACAGATATGTTTATCCTAGACTGGGCTATGGCCATGGAGATGGAGAGCCCCTCTCTGGGATACTCCCAATCTGTTCCCAGGCACCCAACCTGATCAAGCCTCGTGACATCCATACACAGTGGGAACCCCCACCCCCCCACCCCACCATCAGAAAGGTTATGTGCCAGGCTTGCCTGTAATACTGAGACTATCCAGTAACTTAAGGTAAGTTCCCGGAAGTGAATCAGCACTGGAAAAATGAGTGCTGCCAAGGTTTACAGCACCTAAAAATGGATGCACCAGGATATGAATTTGCTTTGCAAAAGTTAGGCCACACTTCAATCTTTTCTCAGGGCAGTTCACACAATAAAAATAAAACAAATATAATGAGATAGTAACAAAATTAAAAAGCATGAATTAAAACAGGCAGCAATAAAATAAAAAAACAAGCTAACATCACATGGAAATTGGTAGAGGCTGGCGCCTCCCTGTCTCATGCTGAAGCAGTTTGGGGTGACATAAACAAGGGTGAAGCCGTTACTAGAGCTGAAGGACATACCTAAGAGGTGCTCCACCTTCAGCATCCAGCAGCTCAAAGCCAACTTCTGACCACACCAGTCTGACAGTATGAAGCAGCCCTTGGTTGTTGCTGGAGAGGTTCAAAAAGTCTGGGAGTTGTCAATTGGAGGGGGGTGGAGGGAGGCATGCTGCAACCTAATTTCTGACTAAATTTGTTCTAGGGTTATAAAGAAGTGTTTGAAAAAGCTGGACTCAGCTAGTGGTCAAGCTCAAAAAGGTGCCCTTTACTCTCAGAGCAGGGGGTGCCTGATCCAGACTGGCCGGCAACTTCTGAAACAGCACCTCCCAGAGGACACCACCCATTCTGTGTAACATTGCTCCTCACTCGCTTGGTATAGTAGCATCACAAAGGTTGTGCTGCATGCTTCTCAACACTTACCTGGGTACCAGGACCTCCTTTCTGGAAATTGGACTCTGGTTTCTAGAGATCCTTCAGTGAGATTCTAAGTGAACACTAGTAATCCATGGGGATTTGATAGATGTGTGTCAAGGGTGGTTTCTAGTCTTCCTTTTTAAAGCAGCAACAGTGAAATTGATCCATTTTTAAAAGGCTATGAATAACGGCATTGCCCTCTCTGGTCTAAGTGAAGGCCAAGGTCCTGGTCTGGATGAGGTGGAGAAGCATGTAGGGATTGTGACTGACCGCCATGGCTAACCTCTGTGTGTGTGTTCTCTTCTCGTCTTTCTTTCTCTCTTCTTCTCTCTGCTCTCACAGCCGGAAGGGCCCTGCCTCACCTACTCGACCCACCATAATCCGACCAGCTGAACCATCCCTCTTAGATTTATAACCCGAGGCCTGTAGAAAGCTGGCAACAAGTTCTGTGCCCGGGGTTCTCCCCGCCCCAGCAACCCAACCCCTTGTTCCTCCCACAGGCACCTTCACTCCCCTCCTTCCCCCATGTCGTAAAATGCTCGTTAGTGATTGAGCTCTTCTTCGTCTTCTCTCGTGCATCCTGTATTGCTTTGTGAGCGTAGAGTAGTCCTAGTTCAGTGGCATGGGGAACTTGGAAGGACATAAGATCTTTGGAGCATTGTTTTTACAGGAGCATTGCTGTGCACCAAAATGGCAGTTGTGGACAACCTGCCTGGTCTGCGCATAGCGTCCTGCCTGCGTTGGTTAGCTGTAGCATCTAGCTCTAATCTATAGCTACGTAACAATTCCCCCCCCCTACTATAGTTAAGATGAAAATTCTGGAAGAGGATAACACATGAAGATAATGTTAACAAAAACGTTTTAACATGCTTGAACATTCTTGGTAACGTCTGGTATGTGGGTTTGAGAGTCAAAGTGCAAACTTTAGGGAACAGTTGATACAGCCTTCTCTCAAGCTGGGGACAGGAGGGCTTACTGAATAATGCCGTCTTGCAGACCAAGAATTCTCTATCTCAAGGTGGAAGGAACCAACACAATGTGCTACTCTCCGTTTTTTGAAGTAGCAAAGGAAGGTTAAGAGAGGCTGGTATTTCCAGGCAGCTGGCTTGTATTACCACTTACAACTGACTTTCCACAAAGCAGGAGAGAGGTTGATAGCCTTCCTCTCCACAGCAATGGACCATCTGATATTTCCAGGAGTGGGCTGTGTGTTTTAGTGCAACTACCATTGCTTCAGACAAACAAACAAAAACACTACTCGTTTGATGTCATGACGATTCTGTTGATTCTTCCAACCTTCACTTCTTGCATGCTGATGGTACAAATATGTAATGTGGGGGAAAATGTGTGTAACTGCTAGTCTTGACATCCTCTTCTCTGGCTTCTTTATGTATATGTTGAGGGGTAAATATAGAAATATTTAAAGTGGGGTGGGGGAAAAGATCTGCAACATCCTGTCTTTTTGAAAGCCAGCTTTAGACATCCTCCTTGGAAAATTTCAGCCATCCCCACTTACAATTTTTGTTCCTTTTATCCCAGTGCTGTTACTTTTAATTTTCTGTTGAAGATCCTCGACGTCAACTTCTGATGTCCAATCCTTTCCATATTTTAACTGTTGTTTTACATTTTTGTCCCTCTCCCTCTCTCTCTCCCCCCTTGTTTTTTCTTTTGTGTTCTTGTCTCTCTTTCCTTGAATTCCAGCCGCCCTGGCAAAGCTAGTCCCTCCCGCCCGGAGAGTCCAAAACCACCATTTGACATGTAACCCTGCTCCCTTCTTGAGATCCATCCTTTATCTGCCTCTTAGCTGTTCTGTCCTGGAATGGTCCAACGCACATGTTAAGAACACAGCTTTGTTCTGTTGTAGCTTGTGGCTTGCACATATCAGATGTGACTCTAGTGAAACTGGCTTTTCTTCCTCCCAGTTGCTTTAAAGGAATTTAAACAAAAAAATGAGCTATATTGTAGTAATGAGAAACATATCTTTACTGTTATATAAATATCTATAAATATCTATAAATATAAAGATCTAAATATATATGGTGTCCAGATGTTTTAAGCCTTTAATGCTTCTGATGTTTGAGTTTAGCAAATACTTGAGTAAGGAGATTATATATAATGTACACATGTGCACCCAACAAAATATAACCCACACCCAGAAGTCTGAGATTGTCAACTCCCTGCTGTACACGGTTGGGTTATTGTTGCCCCAAAATTGTGGTGAATCTTCGCAGTGCTGCTAGTATCTGTGATGCTGTCTGTGATCTGTCAACTCTTGTTTATTGGCTGAAAAATAAACTATTATTTCTGTATAACTGAGTACTCCATGTCTAGAATAAAACACTCTCTCAGTGCTTCCAGGCTCTTATACTTAATGCTGTCAAGTTATTTGTGGCAAGACAAATGGAGAGCTGCACACATGATGGCAGTGTCAGGAGCAATAGGTTGATGTCCTGGTTTTACAGTTACACACACACACACACACACACACATATTCTGTATGGGGTTTTTAAAAGGAAGCATCACCATCCACTGAAAGTGCAGCATCTCACTGGGGTATTATTTACACATACCAAGAAAAGGTTCTATACAAAAACTCCAAACAACTTTAATTGGAGTAGATTCCACGGTTCTTAAAAAAGAAAAACTCAGCTGTTTTCCTTGGCAGGTGATTTTGGCAGCCAACACATTATTATTATTATTATTATTATTATTATTATTATTATTATTATTATTATTTGTAGTAGTAGTACCCTGCCCACTCTAGGTGGCTTCCAATAAATATAAAAGCATAATCAAACATTAAACACTTCTCTGTATAGGGCTGCCTTTAGATATCTTCGAAAAGTTGTAGGGTTATTTATCTCCTTGACATCTGATGGGTGTTCCACAGGGTGGGTGCCACTACCAGGAAGGCCCTCTGCCTAGTTCCCTGTAACTTCACTTCTTGCAATGAGGGAACCCCCAGAAGGCCCTCGGCGCTGGACCTCAGTGTCTGGGCAGAATGATGGGGGAGGAGACGCTCCTTCAGATATACTGGGCTGAGGCCGTTTAGGTTTTAAAGGTCAGCACCAACACTTTGAATTGTGCTCAGAAACGTACTGGGAGCCAATGTAGGTATTTCAGGACCGGTGTTATATGGTCTCGGCGGCCACCTCCAATCACCAATCTGGCTGTCGCATTCTGGATTAGTTGTAGTTTCTGGGTCACCTTCAAATGTAGCCCCACATAGAGCACATTGCTCTACAGGAGATAACCAGCAGGAAATAACCAGCACATGTACCACTCTGGCAAGACAGTGCATGGGCAGATAGGGGATCAGCCTGCATACCAGATGGAGCTGGTAGACAGCCGCTCTGGCCACAGAATTGACCTGCACCTCCATGGACAGCTGTGAGTCCAGAATGACCCCCATGCTCTGTACCTGGTCCTTCAGGGGCAGAGTTACCCCATTCATGGAGTCCCCGTCCCCCCCCCCCCGCCTGCCTCCTGCCCACCAGAAACAACACTTTATTGTCTGGATTCAACTTCAGTCCATTATTTGCCATCCATCCTCCAGCCACACAGGACCTTCACCACCATCACTGGTTCCAATTTAAGAGAGGTAGAGCTGGGTATCATGCACATACTGATGAACACCCAGCCCAAACCCCCGATGATCTCTCTCAGCGGCTTCATATAGATGTTAAAAAGCATGGGGGAGAGGATGGAGCCCTGAGGCACCCCACAAGTGAGAGGCCAGGGGGCCAAACACTCATTCTTCATCACCACTTTCTGGACACGGCCCAGGAGGGAGCGGAAGGAAACAGCTTTCACCTCTGTCCCTAGCTGGAGATTATTGACCAGCATGACCATGGTCCTCCAGATGTGCCACAGGCTCACTCACTTTGCCCAGGAATGGAAAGTTTGAGACGGGTCATAGTAGCCGAATCCAATGGTTTTTTAAAAAATAAATAAATAAGTGGTTTGATAACTGCCTCTTTCAGGGAATTCTCTCTCACAGATGGAAGCATTCACCACACTACAGATCCCATTGTCCAGCCCTGCTTGGCCCACAATGAGATCAACACAGAACCCAAACTTGTGCATTATGCTTAAGTTGCAATGTCTTCCTATATAGCAGGGTGGATCATGTTGAAAATCTACTCAGATAATAAAATCATATGTCAATATTAAGGTTCCATGGATGGTTAAGTCCAGTCAAAGGTGACTAGGGTGTGGCGTTCATCTTGCTTTTCAGGCCAAGGGAGCCGGCGTTTGTACACAGCTTTCCAGGTCATGTGGCCAGCATGACTAAACCACTTCTGGCACAACAAAGGACTATGACAAGTGCCAGAGCACACAAAAACACAGTTTACCTTCCGGCTTGCAGCAGTACCTATTTATCTACTTGTGCTGGTATGCTTTTGAACTGCTAGATTGGCAGGAGCTGGGACAAAGCACCCTGTTCTGCGGATTCAAACTGCTGATTGAATTGGGTGGTGCCACCAACATCCCATAATCATAGAACTGTAGAGTTGGAAGTGACTGCAAGGATCATCTGGCCCCTGCAATGCATGAATTTTTTGCACAATGTGGAGCTTAAACTCCAAACCCTGAGATTTAGTCTCAGGCTCTACTGCAGAGCTTTCCAAACTGCAGTGTGTAAGATCACAGTTTTGTGTGGGCAGGGCAGTGGGAAGTAAATAAATGGAGAGTGAAGAAAATCCACACGTCCTTTATTAATTCACACACATACCCCTACCTGTGCAAAGCTGCAATCTATAAAGTTTACCCAGCTTTGGGAAGGCAGTGCCAGAGCTCCAGAGCACTTGTGCTGCCGTCCCAAAGATGGATAAAATTACTTTAGTAATCTTTTGAGGTCAATATTTGGGACTCCCAAATGGATCTTCTCAATAATGCTGCATCTCAGCTGGTGCCCTGTGGAAGAAAAATGCCCGATCCCAGATCCTGCACTGCAGCTGAGCAAGGTGCCTGGCTCTGCGAAGGAGGCTCCAGGGCTCTGGCAGGGTCCTAGAGCCCTTTCCATCCCAGAGCAGGGCAAGTACTTCCTAGGCTTCCGGTTTGGGAAGGCGAGCGCTCCCAAAGTCAGACAAAGCAGATGGGACTTTGTAATATTTGAAGTCCCCAAGTAGATCTTCTTAATTTTGCACCATCTCAGATCAAAGCTGTGTGCAGGAATACTGCCAGCACCACTCTTAATCAACTAAGCAAGGCTCTGGGAAGGCAGGGCAGACTTTTGGAAGGCAGTGCCAGGGTTCTGGGAGCATCCTAGTCCCCTTGTGCAGACCTGCCAAAGCCAGACAAAATAGACTTTTCATATTGCGCCATCTCGGCTAAGCACTGCAGGAAAGCTGCTGGTCCCACATGCAGGTAAGCAAGGCACCTGACTTGGGAAGGGGGGTCCAGGACTCCAGCAGGGTCCTAGAGTCCTTCCCTCTGTCCAGCCACCCTCCCCAAGCCCGACAAAAGTGACTTTGTAAGGTTCCATAAAATAGCGACCTGCAGCACCTGAGCACCACTTCTCACCTTGGGAAGGCAGTAACAGGGCTCTGGCAGCACCCGAGCCCTTGCACCACCCTCTCAAAGCCAGACGAAACAGATCCTCTTAATTTTACACCACCTCAGATCAGAGCCCTGCGGGAAAACTGCTGCCGCCACTCTTAATCAGCTGAGCAAGGTGCCTGGCTCTGGAAAGAAGGCTCTGGCAGGGTCCTAGAGCCCTTCCCTCTGTCACGCCTTCTTCCCAATGCCAAACAAAATGGAAGGGCCTTTGTAATCTTCCATAAAATGGCGGCCTGTGGAGGCCAATATCTGGCGCCCCCAACTGGAGCGTCTCAATTGCGCCCCCAACTGGAGCGTCTCAATTTCACACCTCCTTACGTCACCACCCTGTGCAGAGAAACATCCAGCACTCCAAATCCCGCACTGCGGCTAAGCAAGGCGCCTGGCTTTGGGAAGGAAGCTGCAGGGTCCCAGAGCCCTCCGTCTGTCCTTAGGAGATGCAATACACTTGCAGCAAAATAGCAGAGTGAAATGCATGCACACCCCCTCCCCTCCCGCTGCTTCTGTCCAGGGAGTAAGGATTGTTCCGTCTTAACAAACCCCTTCCACATGAGAGACATGTGTCGGTTAAAGTGAGATAAGGGTAACAAAACTGAGGTAACAAAACAGAAGCCCCTAAAAGCCCACAGCTGAAGGACAACTTTGTTTCTCAGAAACATTAGAAGAACCACAATAAAGCGCAGTAGTTCCATTGTACCTTTTTGTACAATTCTGGGGCTCCACCACTAGAGGTGCAGTTAGGATTTTTGGGTGGCTGAAACAGCATAGCGCTATGTAAAAATGAGAACAGAATGGTGGACTGGAAACAGCATTAAGTACCTACAGGAAAAGCAGGGCTTGTATGCACTCTCCTAGATAACAGAGAAGGCTCTGCTACTTGAAACGGCGTGGAGATCGACAGGCTGAAATGAGCATCTGACATACACAGAGGCCAGAAAGGAAAAGGGCTGCATGAGGGCTGGGCGATGTCTGGTTTCAGGATCGTGATATATCAACAGCTAAACATTGCGATATACCAATACAGAACGATGTCTGAAATAAGGATGGAACTCTGTAGAAACAACCCGGGTAATCCCCTGGCAACTGCTACTACTTAGGGGTCTAAAACTTACAAAATTGAACTTCCCTTTAACATATTGCTACGACTGTTATTTTATAGTACAGGTAATTTGTAAATTAGCACATTTTCAAAAAAATTAAAGCTGTAGGAGTAATTCGTAGCATAGATATCAAAGGTAAGGTGAGAAAATGTTCCCTAATAGACACGAGGGAGACACAAACACACACCCAGAAGGGAGGAAGGATACTTAAACAAGAGGGCAAGGTTTATTTTAATTTTATTTTATTTAACTCAGAAGTAAATAACCTAGTTTATTTTTCCACGGGACTAGCAGCAGCTTCCAAGAGAGCCCCAGCGGAGGGCAGCAGCAGTTCAAATGGCAGGGCTGGGCAACAACTGGAAGGGGGTCTGGGGAGGTGAGGCCGAAAGGGCTTCCTGCTCTTGTGAGGACCCTGGTATGGCTTGGGTGTCAGGATCTTGTGGGCAGGCAGAGATAGCCCAAAGAAAGAGGAAGGAAAGGGACTCCCAGCAAGAAGCTTGGAGCTGTGTCTCCCTCAGCCGCCTACCAGCCTGGCACCTGCACTTAAAACAAGAAGCTCATGAGGAAAGTTCCCAGGTAGGCTGCTTTCTTCAGCACCTGCTCTTGTGATTCGCTGCAGGAGGCAGAGGAGAGTTGAGGGGCAGCAGGAATGAGGAGAGGAGCAATGACCAAACTCACGGTTTTCCCCACATCGTGATTTTTGCATAGCACATGCACGCATTGTGATTCACGATATATCACCACATCAAATACTACGAAACCATTACCACGAGGTGGACTTCAGACTGGTTTGGGACAATATTGATACAGTGGTACCTCGGGTTAAGAACTTAATTTGTTCCGGAGGTCCATTCTTAACCTGAAACTGTTCTTACCCTGAGGTACCACTTTAGCTAATGGGGCCTCCCATTGCCACTTCATCCTGAAGCAAAGTTCTTAACCTGAGGTACTATTTCTGGGTTAGCGGAGCCTGTAACCTGAAGCATCTGTAACCCGAGGTACCACTTGTACATTGCCCAGCCCTAGCAGCAACTAGATTTTTTCTCTTCCCATTCCTGGGAGAAAAGCACAGTTTAATGGTGAAGGCTGTCCATTTCAGCAAGGACAAACAGAATGCAACATGCATACAACTCAATCATGTCTTCACAATAAGGGAAACTGTTCATCTTTTGTAGAACATAAGAACCACACACAGTGTGCTATAGGTGGAACAGGTTTATTCAGAAAGAACAAATTTGTAACAGGATTAAATTATCTTTGCAATAGAATGCAAGTTCTCTCTAATAAAGGTTTTCCTTTCACATTCCCAGAAACCAGACACCCAATAAATATTTCACAATGTGCCATATTAAATCACATTCCTGGCTCCCGCCACTGAATTTGATTTTTTTTTTAAATACAAGATTACAAGATGACTTCTGGCAGCCCGAAATTCTGCCCAAAGACTTTTCTCCTCTTTATTCAAGGTATATACAAAATGTTACACAGATACACTATGTACATTCGTGCAAACAGGAGCTCGCAAGCCCACTTTGTAGTGCCAACACAATGCACTGAGGGAGTAACACTGACATCACAGCTGTGCCAATCTCCTGGAAGAGTGCAGTGATTTAAGTCTACAATCGTGCTCTCCTGAAAAACTGGCGAAGGATGAAGCTTACATTTTAAGAAGCTTCCCTGTGTGCTTTTCCTTTGGATGGACTTTTTTCTAGCAGGTTCTACTGGAAAGAAAGGCTCTGATGAAGATACAACAATCTATTATGTAAGCGACTGGCAAAACGACTTACAAGGAGGTGCAATGCAGCAGCAATACCCATCCACTTTGCTAGCACTTTTCACCTCCAGGAGGGACCCTGGTCACAAACAAGCAGCTATGTCACCAGCTAGCTACATCTGCTGCCTGTATGCAAATGTACAAAGTTATCTCGCACAGATGGCCTCCTAAGTAGAATTCAAGCTAGACATGGGGCAAATCTTTGTCCCTCCCTCATGCACCTGCTCTGAATGCCTTTTTAACTCAACATATGATACACACCCTCCTGCATAGAAATCTCTGGCCTGGTTCTGTATTAGAACCACAGGAGATAAAAAAAATATTTCAAACAACCCTGCTCACTGTTAAAATAATCCACTGCCCAACCAGGAAGAACGGAGGTCCAATTAAAGATAGTTGAAATTCCAGAGATCAATATAAAAGTATGCTTTTTCAGTGATTTCCTTTAAAAAAGAAGAGGGGAGAAAAGTTTCCCCATCTTAAAAAATTAAAACCATCCAACAGAGACAGCAAACTATGTCACCTTCAAAAGCGCAGCCACATTTCCATCCCATCCTCAGATCATCTGCACCAAAAAGCCAGAAGCCAACCCCAAAAGGATAACAGGAGACAGATTCTCCCCCTGAACTGCCTGTCCCAAGTCATTAGACAAAAAGGAAAATGTTTTGCAGAGCTCTCTGTTTTAAGGAGGGCTAGAGATTAAGATGGCTGCTAAATTTGGGCAGGAGGCCAACTGTGCAATAAAGCAAAAAGACAGAGATCTATGGTAAGGGACAAAGAGGATCCAAACCATCTAAACCTGGAATAAATTAACAGAAAGGTGCTGAGCTGATGGCTACAATGACAAATGGAACAAAAGTCACTGACTGAGGAAACTGACTGGCTGCCTGAAGCAGAAGCCAGGAGAACCAAAGTCTTCTCCTGAACTTCACATGACAGCCCTACATTATCTGCTCAGGAAGAGCAAAAGGGGAAGACTAGCTCAGGATGCCTGGCACTCAAATTCCACTGAGCTCAACCACCATGTGTGACACTTGCTGCAACCGAAGATTACAGGACAGAAAACACAGGGCACTTTACGTCCTTGGAGATTCCATGCCAAGTTACACCACCATGATCTTGACTTCGTCATTCTCATCAGCTCGATAGAAGAAGGGAATGCAGGGGTTCTGCAAGAGGGAGCCCAGCCTGTCCCGGGGGTTTTGAATTTCACGTAGAAGATGCATGATCTGCTTGGCGGTGGGGTCTTGTGAAGCAGGCTGGGGAGCTTTGTTGTCAGTGTGTGATGGGTGGGATTGTGAAGCGGTGGATTCCAGTTCTGGCTCATCTGCCAAACTCACTTCTCGCAGCCCTGGGAGGCAAGATAGCAGACACTGTTTAACTTCTAAAGAGAAATGTTTGGTCTCAGGTTTTCCTAGAAGTCTCACACACAAAACCTATAAAACTCTCTCCTCAACCCTAGTGTGTGGTAAATGGTTTCTGTTGCTTGTGGAGAGCAGAAAGTAGTTCTGCCCAAGTTCAAAAACAGAGACATTTACTGATATTTCTCAAATTCTGGGGCTAAACCAAGACACTGAAATTAAGCTTAGAACTCCCCATGAAGATACCGCAGCTATTTCCCCCACTGGTTGTCACCACTGCTCACCTTCACCATCGGTAGCATTCAGCTCAACGTGCCTCGCTGCTGTAAGAGCAGCTTCACTCTTGGGGTCAGACTGGGGATCCACATTTTGAGCCATCTCCATGTATTTTATATACCATTCGTTCTTCTCCCCAACCAAGCGCATCACCAACTCCTGGAGCTCCAGTAACTTCATCTGCAATGGAGAAGTATAAAGAGGGAAACGGAATCACCAAGAGCCACCTGTGTGTCCCACATGCACCATACCACCTCCCATTAGAATGAATAGGTTTTCTTCTTCCAATGTCCCTGGAATTGGTTCCTGACAGCCAGTGGCGTAGCGTGGGGGTGCAGGGGGGGCCGGCCGCACCGGGCGCAACATCTGGGGTTAGGGCAAATCCACAGGTTAGGGGGCGCAAATCCACGGGTTAAGGGGCGCAAATCCACGGGTTAGGGGGCGCAAATTACTTGCCTTGCCCCGGGTGCTGACAACCCACGCTACGCCACTGCTGACAGCTTTTAAAGCATTCAAGCTTCTAGTCCTCAAGGTCCTTAATTTTTCTGATCATCTATATTGTCTCTGCTTTGCACATGCTCACTGTCACTGTTCTCCTTTGCTTTCTTCCAACATCACCCTCTCCTGTGTTCTCATAATGGACCCAAGTGGGTTAGCACCACCAGGAGCACAAAGGCATGAACATTGATTTGCAAAGACTTTTAACCTTGGTGCTCCCAGAAACAAGTTTCCAGATACATTGCTTTCTTTAGAGCTAAAGCAGCAACAGTGGAGGTGTCCTCTTCCCCTTCGATCCAGGCTTGTACCACCACTACTGACTTAATTTAACTGACCAAGGAAAGTCAACTATGTTTTATTTTCATCTGAGGTGCACGATTCTGAATCACCCTTCTTATCAAGACCAAACCTCTCCTTCCCCTTTGTCTCCTGTTATCTATGTACAGGACACATATAAAAACATAATAAGGGACATAATAAGGATAATAATAACATAATAAGGATGGGTCCTGTTCTCACAGTGGCCAACCAGATGCCTATGGGAAGGACCAAAGTAGGACCTGAGTGGAACAGTTTCCTCCCCACTTGCAATTCCCGACAACTGTCACTTAGGAGCATGCCACTTCCAACTGTGGAGGCAGAACACAGCCATCATACTAATAGCCACTGATAGTCTTGTCCTCCATGAATTTGTCTACTCCTCTTTTAAAACTCTCCAAGTAATTTAAGAAACCTTTTTGTAAGCAGTGGAAGCGGCTTTGTACATGCAGGCAGACAGAGGTGTTCAGGAAGGTCACAGATTACAACAACAAACAACAACAGGTGCCCAGAGCTCAACAGGAGACCAGTTTACTCCTTTAAATGGGGTGAGCCAGACTCTGCCTGAGGGTCTTCTTCCAGTGTGCCAGGAACTGTAAATAAAGACAGTGGACCCTCCTTCAATCGGAGATCTGCCTCAGTAAGCACTGCAGTCCAGGTGCAGGAGTGAAGGGTGGTTGGTGCCCTCAGTAGCAGTGTGAAACTCACAATACCCCAGCCAACCCAGTTCACTCCCTTCCGGTACTGTGTCAGAAAGAGCCCTTAGTGGGAAGGGAGGAGATCCCTTGCTCACCTTCATTTCCTCCTTGTCCTGGGCCAGTCGGCTGATGTACTCCTCTTTCTCCTGGTGGCGCTGCTTTAGAATAGCCCTCTGACTCTGGTACAAGGCAATGTACTCACCTGAAACACAGGAGACACAAGTGAGTCTTAGAAAGTCTGTTCAAAGGGTGGTGCTGAAAGCTCCACATTCACCCTTACATATACATGCAACCATGAAATGGGGTTGCCCCCACCTCCTCCTCTCCTTGTAAAAGAAAACAAGGTAGGCAAAGCTTCTGTACGTTCTGAAATCTAGCAGAATCCACATGTTGCAATAGGTCTTTTGGAAGAAGGGAACAGTTTCCCACCAGCAACTTACTGAAGTTTTATAAACATTGAACAAAGATGAAAAACCATAATGCAGCTAAATGTATGTATTCTGCCTTTTATTTTCAGCTAGAAAACGCCATATGAAACCAATCAGCTCAAGAATTCTGAAGCTTAAAGATTTTCCACTATTTCCTTATTTACATGTTTTATTTTGGTAGAAACTAAAAGGGAGAGAAGGAGGGATGGACATAAATAACTCTGCCTGCCTGCTTCTACAGGATGCAATGCAAGCTGCAAAATAAGCCTTTTTTGTAGCCTGCACTGCCACACAGTGAGCATAATTATGTGATCCAAGCAGTGTCTGGTTGGCTTCAGAGTGGGATTGTGCCACTTGCATGCCAGTCTTTGTCTGGCTTGATTCATAGCCTGGAGATCCTCAGAAGACCAAGAGACCTCACAAGCTCCATAATGCCAGAGAGGACATTCAGAAGCAATCATGTCAGCTGTCTGTTCCATAGCAAGACCTGGGCTTTCTCCACAGGAAGATCCCACAGAGCATTCAGGAACACATCAGTTTCCATCCAAGTGGGCCCACCAGTCTTAAGCGAGGGACGGCCATTGTCAGTCCAAACACTGCACTCCCCCTTATTCTCAGTCTCTCGTATCACTTGGGGCAAAGACTGTATCATGAGTATGTTCTGCATGGTGTGTCAGACCAAAGACTATTGGAGGTAGATCTATAGCTGACCCAATGGTAGCTACACATGGTTACTGGAGACACCCAGGACAACCGCCCTGGTGTTCTCCATCACCCCAGAGATCACCTTGGCCAGCCCAATCAGGGATGCTGCTGGGCAACTGGGTGGCCAGCAGACCAGCAGTAAGTTGAATTTGTCTCTCTTAAACAACACCAGACCATCTAAGCTTGCCCCAACATCAAGAGGTTTTCTGGTCAAGGAGATAATGTTTTTATGGACAATATCAACACCTCCCCCTCAACCACCTGGTAGTATAGCCTAGGGCTGTATCATGTACCCAGGTGGGCACAGCTGGGTAAGGTCAGGTCCACCCAGTTCACTCACCCAAGTCTCAGTAATGCAGGTCAGATCAGTCTGTTCATCTATGATGGATGAACACGGTCTTATTACAGACCAATCTGGCATTCAGTAACAGCATCACCAAACCACAGGGCTCAGTGGATATACTACTAGTACTTTCCAAAGGAGAGGACTCAAATGAGGAACACAGATTAAACATCTAGGCCTTGGTACTTGAACGGCATCTTCCTCTGCCCATGACCACTGAGACTGGAGAGCATTTTAACAACTCCTGGCTACCTGCACACCCAGACACCCATCATCTATCACAACTGAGAGATTCAGGCCAAAGATAGTAAACTTAAGGCCCAATAGTATGTGCATAGCACACCATAAGGAGAAAGATGGTGAATCCACTACTACTCTCTTTCTGCCTCTCACTCGAGGGAAACCACGCCAAACCAAACTTCCCCTCAACCAGGTTCTCATCATGGGTGAGGGTCGCATGCCGTGTCCCACAGTTTCGGCCCTACATATCCTGACTGACACTCCTCTTCCCCTGTGGCTCCCCCAAAGCGGCAATCTTTAAGTGTTGTCCCCTTTGGGGATGACCCCACCTGCCTGTGACAGGGCCTGCTGTTATAATAAGGAAGGCTCTGGACCACATCCACAGTCCAGGTGTTTTCACTCAGCCAACCCTACACTGTAATCAGCACACTTTCTGACATGCAGGCAGGTATCTTACAGGATAAGCAAACTGACACAGGCAAACAGCACCCACTTTTGCTGGCTGAGAGAGCAGACCAGACAGGGACTAGGATGGTGCATACCAGCTGCTTCCTACATACTCTGTAGGTCTGCTCCCAAGACCTTTATTTGGTTGTTTCTGTGTGGGGATACACAGAAGGTAAAATGGTTTAGATAGGTGGGTGATGAGTAGTAATTCCTAACTACTGGAGGCTGCCTGCATTTTCCTTTGTCTTCATGAGAACTGAGATTTTAAAATGTAAACAAAAGGTCTTCGGGATCCTATGGGAGAATTGCCACACAATCTATATCCAAGTGTTAGTCACACTTCCCCAGACATCTCAGTGAAACGTGGAGAGGGGCACTGAATTCACCTCACCTATAGTGTCCGTTTCTCCAGACAACTGTATACAACGATGTTCCAGCTCTTCCACCCGGTCCTTCAGCTCTGCCCTCTCATGCATCAGGTCTGTGAATCGAGACTAGAAAGCACAACAGCCAGTCATCATTGAAGATGTTAGGGAGACCATGTGGAAGAAGAAACCCAAACCCTCCTGGCGCAGCAGCCAGCACTACCACAGCAATAATCAGGACAAGGGCAGCTTCTCACCGATAGGCAGCAGATAGGCACCATCCCTTGGAAGGTAAAATCATCTTATTTCTAGAAAAGAAAGCAGCAGAAGCCTTCTACCCAAGCAGGTCTGACTGCTTAGGAGGAAAAGCCTGCGGCTGCTTTCCAAGTGAAAAAGTCACTAGAACACTAAAGATTTTTCAGATCAGATCCCTTAAGAACATATATACTCAAAATGTAGTGAGGTGTATCAACAATAAACAAAGTGTGGTTAGAAAGCTTGATTCTTCCACAAAGTATCTTTTGATTCCAAAGCAGCATCATTAGTCACTCACCCCCACAAAAGATTGTGACAGGGAGAGAGAAGAGAACCTACATGGTGAAAATCTGATTAACTGCTAATTATTATAGAGATCTTGGGGAATGGAGGAACTGCTATAGCTGTTTGGAAGTCTTACAGTACAAAGACAGCTAAGCCAGTAACAGTCCATCCAACATCACACAGCTCAATAGGCAAAGGCAGGATTGCAAAGGCTCTTCATCAGTGATGGGACCTTCACATGAACATGCTCATAAAAGTGCTGAAAGATGTGTTGCATTAACCAGCACATGTGCTATTTGTCTGGGTTTGTAGCCAAAAGCATTAAACACGCACCTGCAGCTTCTCCATGGCACTTTTTAAGGCTTCGTGAACCTCACCTGGAACAGAATCTGCAGCAGAATCTGAAAAGGGTCAAGTAATTTGATTAAGCGACTGCAGAAGGAATGGCCTTGTGGTCCAACCTGGCTGGAACCCAAATAGACACCTGAATATGCACATCCACACACAGGAGCACGCTTACCTCCCCCAGATGCAACATGCAGCTGCTGCTCCTTCCTCAGTATGGCAATCTGCTTCAGGAGGCCTCTGCATTGCCTCCTCTCCTCAGACAGTTGCTGCCTCATCTCCTCTCGCTCAGTTTCCGCTTGGGACATAACAGATGTCAAGAAAGCCACCTAAGATGCAATTCCATATGCTGAAGTTTAGCATAAGGGTGTTGTTAAATGTAAAAAATAAAAATATATCCTGGGGACCATTTGAAGAATTATAGCTGTTTTAAATAAGAGAAATAAGTGTACAATCAAACCAATGCTAGCATGTTGCAAGGGGGTTAGAAAGAATTTAAGAAGGTTCATTTTTATCTGTAGCTCATTTTACCAGAGTCATTCTCGTATTTCCACAGCTCTGTAGGCACATTTATGCTTCATTATACCTATGCTCTAAAACTTTGGCTTAGTGTTGGAAAAAATATGCTCCAGGCCTTTTCTTGAGGTGGAGAGTGTCTTTTGAAAGCACAAAAATCACTATACTAAGATACAACTAATACCAATTCAAAACTGTTGGCTTCATAATGCTACCCAATTCTGAAACTTTCCAAGAATTCAGCACATTCTTAGGTTGGCCCTGTAATGCAGAGTGTACTGGCTGTATGTTGGGGAAAGAGGCAGGGACATATTCAATAAGGTACCGTGAGAAGCTGGCTGCAGAGGCTGGAAAGTCTGCACTGGTCTTTTGTCATCTAGGTGGGCCACCAAAAATGGAAGTGCCTGGGTTGTAAGGATTGGTAATGCTGAGGTATTGTCCTAAGCCCCAAAACTAGAGCCCCCTGGATGTGCCTCTCTGCATTTGCATTCAGAATGATTTCAGTAAATTCAGCATCTCTTGTTTTAGGGACTTTGCCAAGTTGACAGTCAAAAAACACACCCAATTGATAAACCGTTCTGCAAGCCTGCTGAGACACATTACATGCGAAAATAGTCTACAGAGGCCCTTCTTGTCTCTGAAGCTAACCTGTCTGGAACCATCCAGTACTGAAGTGGGAAACTAGTTGGGAGTCCAATGGTTTACTTGCTCTGGCTTGCTTGGAGGCACACAAGGGCGTGGGGAGAACAGAGAGGGAGACACAAGCATAGGCTGAGAAATAATCCAATTTAAAAGCATGGGGAAGTTAATCTACGTTTAATGTCAAGTGAAGATAAATCCAGAAATGCAGCACATTTCTAGGAAGCTAGAAGTATTCAGCTGAAAGTCTTTGAACAGAACTTCAGGGCTGCTGCATCTCTGAGCTTCCAGGTTATTCCCTGCCCACCCTTCCTATTCTCCTCACCTCCTGAAGCACTCATGTAAAACCACAAAGACTTGCCAGGCACTCACCATTTCCTCTCTACTTTCAAAATTATCTGGGATGGTAAGGGCAGGAGTCTTCAGCTCTTCTACAGTCTCTTCGGTTTCCACTCCATCCCCTGTGAGCAAAGGAAGACAGCAGAGAGGAGTTAGAACATCCTGCTAGGATCAGCCCCCCTGTGTTCCTGCTAATGGAAGAGACAACTCACCTTGTGCCCTGGGAAGCATCCTTGCATCTAGTTCTGCCATGAGCTGGCTGACCTGAGCCTGCAGCTCCTTGTTTTCTTTGGAAATCATCTCCAGGCTTTCCTTCAAGAAAGAGGCAGCAGATGTTTTGGCTGCTTCTTCCACAAAAGTACACTGACCCAACACAACACAAAGGCTTCATGTGATTCCTTTCTACAACTACTGACCCAGAACTGGAAAAACAAACATTTGGAAAGCCCTTCTCATTCCAACATCCAACCACCAGACTTGGGATCTCCAGTATGTCAGCTCCTACCTCAGGCACTTGTCACCTTGCATCCCACACCCAAGCTCTCACTCAAAGCTGGCAAAGGCCCAATTGCACAATTAGAATTATGCAATACCACACAACTGTACACATGTCAGCATTAATTATTCCTAACACTGAATTGTTTTTCACTTGGTGCATAATTCAGATGACCGGGGCAGCTGCAGCCCAGGACCAAGCAGAACCGAGTCCTCCTGGACCTACTCAGTTTCAACCTCTACAGCCCTGCTTACCAGTCCTCCCAAGCGCCAACTCTTACCTTGGCTTCCTGCAGCTCCTTGAAATGCATCTCCACAGTCACCTTGCCCTGGACCTCTTCATGCTGCAGCCGATCCATGAGCTGCATCTGAAGAAGGTATTGCTTGTGCAACTCCTCTTTCTCTGTGGCTAGCTGCTGGTATGCTGCAGTGTACTGCTGGAGGTGGGCATAATACTGATCCCGCTGCTCCTGAAGGGCCTGAGCCTCTTGTGTTTTCTGAGCCTCCTAGGATGGGGAGGGAAATAAGTTGGTTACCAAATCAGCAGCCCAGAGGTGGTGCACTCTTCTCTCTCCACACATATAACACACAATCCCCCTCCTCTCCCCCAACTCAGTAGGGCTTGGCAATGCATCAACATTGTCCAAAACCAATCTGAAGTCCACCTCGTGGTAATGGTTTCATAATATTTGATGTGGTGATATATCGTGAATCACAGTGCGTGCATGTGCTATGCAAAAATCACAATGTGGGATTATTATTTTTTTAATCCTTCAGACACCACAGACTGGATTTGAAAAACCAACATTATTTCAAGAGGAACGAACATCTCTCTTCCACTCAAGCCAGGCTGCTCTGAATTCTGCTGGGTAGAGAAGCTCTTCCGACACTATTCTTCATTTCAGTCCGATGGCTAAACTATGTAGCCTAACCTCAGGAACTGCAAGAGTAATTTCCTAAGACAGTCTCAAGGAAAACAGTTCAGCACTTGAGGAAATGTATGCAAGGAGAAGACCTCACCCCCACTGCTTTGTGCCACCTATAGCCCACTGCCTCTGCCCCTGGCCCCACATGCCCTATTACTGGCTCCCTTAATTCACAGTGGTACCCCAGCCAGAGCATTACCATCTCCTTGAGCTCTGCCAGCTTCTCTTGCAGCTCTCCAATCTTCTTGGCCAACTCCTTCTTCACGTGCTGCTCTGACTGCAAGGCACTCGTCACCTCCATGTTTTCATTGGTCTGTGAAGACATAAGGCAGCCAAATGAGGCAGCGCCACAAATCTCCCTAGTAGTGAAGTACGTATCAGTCTATTGTTATGGAACCTTCTGCATCCCTGTCAGAAATCATAATAGCTTGGGAGCAACCTAAAATAGGGGGTAGGGGATGAAGGAGAACGAAACCATGGGGGAAAGGCAAAGAGCCTTAAGAGCATTGGACTAAGGATAAAAGTATTTTAACAGCGGGGTTTTTAGGCCAGGAAGTTGTGCAGCAGTTTCACCCCTGGTTACCAGAAGCACCACCCATAACTCCTCTGCTTTTTGAGCCTTTAAACTTCTAATCTTTAAGCTCCTCCCTCTCTCCCTGAAACTTTAAGGTTCAGATACTTGTCTGCAAACTAAATATTTCCTATATTAAAACTACATTCATGTATGATTTATTATGAAACCCATGTACAGCTAGCTAAAATATTTTAGCATACTTGTTTTGAGCTTCAAAGATAAAGCGTACACATTTAGCAACATACATAGGAAAAGCTTCAGAAGACTTGCAGGTTTATGCGTGCTGTACTCAGAACAGGGGGCAACCACTGCTCTCCAAACAGAAGGCTACTTCACTTAATGCATAAATACACAGGTTTGTGAGCAAGTCGTTTAAAGTCTCCCTCTGTAGCCATTAGGGCAATAAGATTGGTTTTTAGATACAGCATAAAGTAAGATCACAGATTTCAGGCAGATGTAGGCAGTCAGCACTAGTCAGAAACAAAAGGAGACTGAAATTGTTGACCATTACAGGACCAAGGAAAAGACACTGGTTCCTCAAGACAAGGCGTCAGCAACCTAAGGCCCGTGGGCCAGAAGTGGCCAGTGGCGTAGCGTGGGTTGTCAGCACCCGGGGCAAGGCAAGTAATTTGCGCCCCCTAACCCGTGGATTTGCGCCCCCTAACCCTAACCCCCAGATGTTGCGCCCGGCCCCCCCTGCACCCCCCACGCTACGCCACTGGAGGGACTCCCAAGGTGAAGCGGGACTTCACCCCAGGGTATCTCGGAAGCCCTCGAGGCAGCGACGCTTCCACCCCCTGGAAACAGCAGGAAGGGAGAGCGCTCTTGTGCCCCGGTCCTGCTTTGAGTGCTTCTCATTGACGCGTCTGCTTGGCCACTCACTCTACATGGGCCCTTGTGGCCTTGATCCAGTAGCCGGGTCCTTCTTTGGAAAGAGCGAGCGCCTCCCTCCGCCCCCGCCACACGGAGCTCAGCCTGCACGTGGGCAGGCCCTTTGCGTCACGTGCGCTTGGCGCGCTGCTCTCTCCAGCTTCCTCCCGGCCGGGCCAGCGGCTCCACCTCTTTTCCTTTGCCTTTGAGCCGCTTAATTCCCAGCAAGCAATTAGCAGGCTCGCTCCACCTCCTCCTCCTCCCGGCTTTGCTGCTGCTGCTGCGAGGCTCTTTTCCTCCACCGACGGCGCGCTGCGCCTTGGAGAGGTTCCCGCTTCCTCGAGGGGGGCCGGCCAAACGCGCCCCCAAAAATGTTGCGCCCGGTGCGGCCGGCACCCCTGGCACCCCCCACGCTACGCCACTGGAAGTGGCCCGTGGAAGTCGTTTGACTGGCCCATGAGCTTCCCCTGAAATGAGCTGCCTGCTCTCGTGCTGCACTAAACCAGCGAGGCGCCGGAAATCGCATCTACGCAGATCCCGGAAATCACAGGTGTGAGCACTCACAATCCAGCCCACGGAGGGATCTCTGCGGGACTGATCTGGCCCAGGCAAGATAAACCTTGCTGACCCCTGCTCAAGACAAACAGGGAACAGAAACAACGAAGGGAGAGTGAAACAGTGGAGGAAAGAGAACCTTTGCAGCAATCTACAAGGGTTCCCTGGGTGCTTGATGGCTTCCTTTTAGAGTTCAAACATCCCTAGCACTGGAAGTTTCTGGCTGGATAGCAAAGGGGGCTATTGCCTCTCACCACAAGGAGGAACATACCAGTTTGACAAAGCCATTCTGCAGCTCTGCCAGCTGCTCCTTGAGCTCCCGGTTCTGAGTCATGGCTCGGCTGATGGTTGCCTTGTCACTCTGCATGTTCTCCAGGATCTGCTGCCTGTCCACAGCCTCCTCGCTGTAGCGCTGCACTGTCTTTTCCAACTCCTGCAGCTGCTCCTCCTTCTCCTGATTGAGGCGGCTCAGCTGCTCATTGTCCCGCATCTGGGCTTGGCACTGCCCACGAAGTTCCTCCTTCTCCTCCTGCAACCGAGTGAGCTCTTCTTGCAAGCGCAGCTCAGCTTCTGTGGGCCCTGAATGGGGGGCGGGATCACTTTCCAGGGGCTTCACTACTAGAAGGTCAAGTCAGAGAGGCAGACTGTTCATGGCCAACTTAAGGAACAAAAGCAGTGCCTAGGTGAGGAGTGCGGAGCCCTCTTCCATGGCTTACCCCCCCCCCAGCACACACAACTCAGGCACTCCCCCCCCCAATTGCTCAGGCGCTGATAATGGAAGTGAGCCTGGCCAAATGTAAAGCACTTTAAAGGGGTGGGGCTGGGTCAGCTTCCTTTGCCCCTTAAATTGGACCTCAGCTTTCTATGTGATTGTAGCACATTCAAATTTAACACACACAAACTTGGTTGTCTGGCCATGTTGTCGTTCAAGAAAAACCATAAAAGGGTGGAGCAAAGGTCCCTTTTGTTGCCTTAAACCAGTGATGGCCAAACTTGGCCCTCCAGCTGTTTTGGGACTACAGTTCCCATCATCCCTGACCACTGGTTCTGTTAGCTAGGGATGATGGGAGTTGTAGTCCAAAAACAGCTGGAGGGCCAAGACTGGCCATCACTGCCTTAAACAAAAGGCAAGCCCAAATCTGCCATGGAGTGTTCACTCCACAGGAAGCAGGGACAAATCAAGGTGCTCTAACACATGTGTGTCTACAGGATACATGCAGGTGTAAACACATTTGCTGCAGGCACACTTGACATCTGAAGGTGTGCACCTAAGAATGGAATGTGGGGGAGAGAAATGTTGGTCAATCCTATGCAAAAGGATTAAGAGGAGAACCTCTGCTGATAAGATGGGGGAAATTGAACCAGGCAACTAATGGAGTCTTTCCTATCACCTGCAACCAGATTCATATACAGTGGTATCTTGGTTTTCGAACATCTCCATTGATGAACATTTTGGTTTTCGAATGGCCTCAGAAGTTGAATGGCTTCCGCTGAGTGTATATGTTATTTTTCTCAATTTTCTCTATTAAATTTGCAGACCACCCTTTGCGCTTCAGTTTCCGAACATTTTGGAACTCGAACTGTCTTCCAGAACGGATTATGTTCGAAAACCGAGGTACCACTTTATAAGTATGTTTAAAGGAGTAGCCAGGAATTGATCGTTGGAACTTTTGCATATCACTGTGCTACAGCACAGAGTAAAAAGACAGGGGATTGAACAGGTGAGCTTGTGTGGAACAGAGTATGTTTAGGGGGCAAAGGTAATGGCTAAGTATGCAAGAAGGCCTTGCTTTAAGCTTCTGAACACTGAACCTTACCGGACTGACTGCTGATCAACTCCGACAGATTGGCTTCCAGCTCCTGAATTCGAGTTGTACTCAGGTCCTTTTCTTCTGTCAGAGCCTGGACCTACACCACAGGAATTGGAAAGGGAAGACTAGTGTTGCTAACCTTCCATGTCTTTCATGCAGAAAGTAAATCTCTCCATTGTTACCAGAAAGATATCTGCCTGCTATTTAGTGCAGGAGAACCTGTCCTTACCTGGTCAGAAAGCAACTGTACTCGTTGCTGCCAGATTCCCCCTTCCTCTTTCAGCTTGTGCACATACTGATCCCGTTCAGTCTGCAGTTGCTGGATCGACTCAGACATCTGCTCAGCAAGCAAAGAGAAAAAAGAAAGCATAAGCCAAATACTGTGAATAAAGAAAACACCCTTCCTGGGAATGAAGCTAAGGGACTCTTCTATAAAGGCCACATCCCAAAACCCATGGCAGAGGAGCCTACCTGGGCAATTTGTGTTTCTAGGTTTGCTCTTTCTTCCAGTGCCATTTGCAGCTGTTGAGTGGCATCTGGGATTCCTGGCTGGTTTGCAAACTGGCAAGAGAATCAAACAAATGGTTATGGTAAACACTGAAATTCCTTGCCACTTTTCATTCATTCATTCATTCATTCATTCCTCCCCACCCCAGAAGTCCACAAAAGGATGCTTCTACAGTGCCTTTTAATCTAGCTCATGGATTATAGACAAAGGGTTAACATGTCTATTTTTTTGGGGGGGGGGAGAATAGCCAGAATTGCATCCCCCCCCCACTTAAGCACAAGGGAAAATCTTCATAAGGAAATTAGCTTTCCTTTTTCAAGCTTTCAAGTTTCTAGCACTCTATAGAACAGATGCTGGGATTGAATGCCATGGATTGCAGCTTCAAAGGTCATCATAGCTCTTTCATCCTTGGCTACTACCCTCTCCCCCACACCTAGTAATCTACATTTTAATCCACATGCCCTCCGTTCTCTCTGCAATCCAGTACCCACAAGTGCAAATGCTTTGAAAAAGTGGATAAATAGCAACAATGGGATATTAGCTCCGCCCAAGGCATGATGGAGAGCAGCAATGGCTGGGAAAAGATAGACATTATATTTTATAAGGACAGGAAGGAACACCACGGACAGAATAACTGTCACACACAGGAGGAATAAGGATATAGATTGAATGCTTCACCTATAGATTTATAATCATTTAATGTGTCAATATGAATGGATATTAATATTGCAGTTTGTATAAGGGATTGCTATTTTGACTGGAGTGCAATTGAGATGAATAAGATTTTGGAATGCAGAAATAAAGTAAATAGTCAAACCATCAATTCTAGCATGCAGGAGGCCACCTGAATTATACGATTTGGCATCTGAATGATTGGGATTAGTAATTGTATTATAATTTGGCATTGTTATAATGAGGCTATTATTCAATTATTGTAACTGAAATAATAAAAATATTATTAAAAAAAAGAGAAAAAGTGGATAAATATGCTGAGTGAAGCTCTCCATTTGGGGGTGCAGAGTACAAAGAACTCAAGATGTACATCCATATCAGCTTGAAATAAGAATAATTTCTCACAAGAGCAGTCCCTTCCCTCAGAACCTTCAAGGAACACAACCTTTAGGCAAGGACAGGGAAACTGTGGCCCTCCAGATGTTGCTGGACTACAACACACATCATACCTATTGGTCATGTGAGCTGAGGCATTAATGGGTCAAGAAGCCCTAGTAGGAAAAAAAGCTAGTCAAATGCCAGCCTTCCTTTCAATGCTCAGAAGTGCTTGCTAAAGACCATCCCTCAGATTTAAAAGAATACCATGCTAAGCGCTGGGAGTGAGGAGTAACTTTATTCAGAACCCTTCCACAACTATATGACATGCTGCAATGCAAGAGGCAGCAGTATTCCCAGCGACCTAACCATCACCTGCTGAATCATCAGTTCCGCCATCTCCAGTTTCTTGTGCAAATCCTCCACGTCCAGCTTCATCGCTGAGTTTTCAGAGATCAAGGTGCGCAGCTTCTCAGACAGTTCAGAGTTTTGCTGCTTGAATTCTTCACTGTTTTTACTACAGGAAGGGGGGAAAAACAACAAGTAGGTATCCTTCAGGATGGACTACTAATACGTTTTATGTGGGGCTGCCCTTGCTAGTGATCCAAAAGTTGCAACTAGCGCAGAATGCAGTAGCAAGGGTTTCAATGGGCCAATGCTATATAACTCCTATTCTGAAACAGCTGCACTGGTTGCCAGTTGCCTCCCGCATTTTAATAGTCATTTAAAGTTGGTATGCATTCCCCAGGTGCAGCTTTTCATGAAAGGCTGAAAAAGCCACAGCTACCAAAATATCTTCTACAACACAACTATTACAAATAAAAAAGCCCCACCTGCTCATGGAAACTCCATCAGAGGCAGCAGAGGAAAAGTTGCCTTATCCCAGTGTAGACCATTGGGTCCAGCTAGCCCACTAGTATCTTCTCTGATAGGCAGCAACTCTCCAGAGATTTAAGCAAAGGATCTTTCCTATCACCCAACCCTTTTAACCAGATGCTGGGGGTCTTCTGCAAGGAAAGCATGTCGTGGGCATGGCTGTGCTCCAATCCTTATGTTTGGCCAGCATCATCACAGTTGGGTCAAGGCTATGAGATAGCAGCTTGCTGAGAAATCTGATGCAGCATAGGAACTAATGGGGTGTGCTAGGAGACCCTAGTTCAAATCTCACATTTGCCATATATTCATCTAAATCAGTCCTTAAACTATTTTAAAATATTTATTCTGCCCTTACGCCAAGGCACTTAGGCTCATGGCTCCTTCATACCCATCCCCACATTCACTCTCACAACCACCCTGGGAAGTAGGTTAGGCTAGTGGGTTAATAGAAGAGAGCGAAGTGCTATGGAAGACACCCACTTTTGGAAGTAGAAAAACTGGATAATAATGTTGCGGGGGAAATAACAAACCCCACCTTTGCTTGTAGACTTCCAGTTTCAGGGCATCTCGTTCCTTTGCCAGCTCTTTATTATGCTGCCAACAACAACAAACGCAGAAATCAATGAGGGAGCTTATGATTCTTGGATCTTGGAATTACGCAGTGCAGTTCAGAATCACTAACTTTTTAGCATCCACTGTTTAGGGAGAACAACACCCCCCAGGAAGCCCATTGTTAAGGGCTCCCTCAAACCTGGAACAGTCCCTGAAGCCTTCAGTAGACTTACATAATTTAGCCTGATACTATTAATAGCTTATTAAGAGATACCACGAATAAATATTACACCTTAAAGGCAACTAAGTGAGAGCCAGTCTCTGAAAAAGACCTAGACCTATAGCCTTAGGAAATAGGGTGAAAATCCCACAATGGCATGAAGACTCATAATCTTTCTACTTTTTTTATTTTGAACCCTTTAAGCATTTTGTCTGTTTGTTGGTGACTGCACTTTCAAACATATCTCTGCAACAATGAGGAATGAAGATTTGCTTGTTTCCAAAAACTAAGAATAAGTGAGCATGTCATACATCCATATAGTTGTCCTCCATAGACAAATGGTCCCCCAGTGCAACCCTCCCCACCTGCCAATATCTCCAAAAATATGTTAAGTTTTCAACCCACTCAAGTTATGCCATTGCTCTAAAACAGACTTGTGGACTATATTGTTATTCTAGTTTGTTTGTTTGTTTTTTTAGCAGAGATCTCTCCACCCACCAAACATAAACCACAGGAAGCTAAAAACAGCAATTTGCAAGTTTGAGTTCTGCTGAAGCAAAATGCAGACTGCCAAGACCACCTCTCTGTAGCACTATCACCTGTATACCAAATGACACCATAGGATATGTCTGCCTATGACCCAAAATAGCATCTGACACAAAGTTTTGGCTCTAGCTGCACAGAGAGACTCTACACTTGACATCAGTAATTAGACTTGAGACTGAAATGGAGACAGTTGGATGGTTGTCAATGCCAAAATGAACCACTGAATGAAAATAATGCCCCTGGGTCTCACTGACAGACAGGCCATTTGGCAAAGCTAACGAAGTGCCAAGCGTATTAATCCAAACAAAACCAACAGGCACTCTCATTTCATTCCACACCCACCCACCTGAGGTGTCTACTGGAATTCTGTGAACACCTGGGGGCGGAATGTAGTCCAGCCTCCCAAAGAAGAAAGCACCAAATGTAAGAGATAATAGAAAGAGATAATAGAAATAGACATATAGGGAATTCTTACTTTGTCTGTCTGCTTCTGCTGCGTAGACAGGGAGGAAAGGGTGTGCTCCAGCTCAGATATCCTCTGACGAGAAGACTGAACCCGTGCAGCAAGGTCCTCTGCTTCTCCTGCCCAAGTAAAACAAGGTTATGTTGCAATGGAACCCAACAAGCAAACTGGCAGGAGTGGACCATCACTTTATGCTCCAACCCCCAACGCCAATCAGCATTCAACAGAATCTGCCCAAGATTTATCATGCTCCAATATTTCTCAGGGTTACCCATCCCTGGCTATTGCTGGATTAGATGTTTTGGAAGCTGTCTGGAAAACAGCAAGTGGTGCAAAATGCAGGAGCATGGCTACATAAAATACTGAAATATAACTCTCCCTCCCCACAAACAAGAAAAATAAGTAAACGTACAATTACCCTCACCAGTTGCTCACTTTTATTTTGGTTAACATAAAAACAGCAAATAAACATGAGAGCAACAGATTCTAAGGCTGTTAGTACGAACATAGTTTTCTGCTTATTTGGCTTGACTCATTTCAATGGGTCAGATTCCAAATATGTGATAACTTGCCCCCATTTTTCCATAACACAATCAGATTTGTATCTCCTTTATGTCAAAATTTGCTATGCTAATGTATCCATAATTAATACATACCCTTGTATAGGCTTTTTTACAGAAGCATTTTGGAATATAAGAGAATTGTGAAAGGGTCAGAACTTAACTCATGTTATAATTTTCATAATGCTAGGTCCAGTATACCAGTATTTTTACTTTCTTGTCTTTCGAGCTTTCTCGGTCTGTTTTATTATTTCCAAAGGATTACTGAGGAAGGTTTCAAACCGTATTTCCAGTACAGTCTACAGAAGCTTATATGCCCACTTCTCCCAATGCCTAGAGCACCTACCGCCACAGCCAAACCACAGGCCAAATGATGAAATCGTTTTGCTGTGTCACTGAATCATCAACGGCATAACTGCCTCCTGAGCCCAAAGCTTACAAAAAATGTTTCATTTAAGTCAACTGGTGCAGTATTCAAGAGCATCACCTAATTTGTTAGCCAGAAGGCTTAGGGTGTTGCCTACCTGATTTCTGACGAGCGGCCTGCTGCGTATGTGCAAGGGCTGTCTGCAGCTCAGATTTCTCAGAAACCAGGATTCCTATCGTCTGAATGTGGACCTTCAAAGCACAGAACAACTGGATCAAAGGAGAACTTCCTGCCTAGAATTCCTATGTCATAACAACCACTGAAAGGATAAGTAACTAGAAGCAGAAATAGACAAATTGCCACACATGAACTTCAGTGTGCAGTCAGAAAATGTTAATTGGGGGCTGATGTACGATATAGAGTTTACCTGTAACTGTTCTCGCAATGCTGCTTGTTCCTTTGAAAATTTCTGCTCAAACCCCTTCTTTTCCTATGAAAACATGACATAGAAATAGCAACATCAAAACCATATTAGATTTACAATCTTCCTCTTATATGACCAAAATTCATTCTAAGCATTAAGGTCTCACGCGTACTGTCTACCCACCACTGCTGCACATAAGCCCTAGTGCAGAAATATAGAACTAGATCCAGCCAGTGGGCCAGGTTCGTCTCCCACCCCTGCAGCCCAAGATTGACAAGTGGATGGGATCACCCACCTGCCACCTGATGTCAGGTGGCCTGTTCCCCTGCATGTAGTATGAAGTGCTTTCATGCCCCGACAGTCAGCTGGCCAGCAACAATTATCCAATGATTGTCAGGACTTGCAAAGAGCTATGCATGGTGCTATGCACAGGCTTTGCAAGTGATGTAAAACATTCCCAAGCTCTTTTTGTCTCAGCCAGTTCTCTACCTATCCCTCACCTGAAGTTGTATATAAAGTCAGGCATAGGGCACATGGTCGTGCTTGGCCAAAATGGCCTAGCGGGATGTGATGAAAAGCTCAGATATCCCAGAGTCTGGTGATGATGTGCCACAGAATTCCACAAGAGTGGTGTAGCTGGGCTGGATACTCACTCTGTTTGGCTGTGAGTACAGCTAGCCAGAGGGGGTGGTGGAAAAAGTACTTTGTGAGGTAAAAAGAACAATCAGTTGAGAGTTGGGTTCCTGACATTCAGCTGGAAAGGGATAACGCCTCTGAGTAAGCAATTTTTTAAAAAACACCAATGGAACTTCTGAGTAGACAGGTGTAGGACTGCACTGTAAATTAGCTCAGCCTACAAAGAGTCGGACACGACTAAACAACAACAACAACTGCTTTTTACGGGGTTGGATGTTAGAGCCAGCATTGTGAACCCCAAAACAACAAAAATGGAAGATACTTCAGATTATTTTCCTTTTACCATTAACAAACAAGTGAATAAATGCTGATGGTTATGCTATGCTATGCTGACTCACTGTCTAAACATCCAGACCCACATGCATCTTAACTACAACTTGGTTCTCATGGTAAAGCTCCTACAAACGTTTCTAGGTGTCAGTGGCTCCACATGACAGCCAATACACACATGAGCTGCTCACTAGGAGGACTGCTCTTATTTCATGGTGTGTTTCCAACCAACAGCCAGCTGCTTCCAGGATTATGTGGCACTGGTGATGAAACTATCCAAGCAGCAGGGGAAAGCAACAAGGTGAGATGATATTGTTCCTTAGGTGTTGCTAAATGGAACCATTTCCATAAATCTTTTTTCCAGTGTTGGGTTGAATCAGTGCCACCCATTCCAACAGTATACTATGCTTCCTGCTCCTGGTGTGAATAATGAATTGGCTGTGCATGTCTCTTAAGCAGTGCATATTACCTTCTCCAGCTGGTTCATAATCTCTTGGTTCTGCTGCTTCTGCAAAAAGAGCAAAATGAAGGCATTAACAGCAAGTCACTTGGGCTTCTAGGTGTGAGTATGCTAAGCTATACTTCCAAGGCTTTTGGATGTTTGGAACAAGTTATTAGAATCAACAAACCCCAAACTCCTGACATAAAATGCAAGAAGCAACTATTGCATTTATTTTTCACAACAAAAACACAATAAATAAATAAATAAATAATACTGTTTCCCATTGCTTTCTTAAATGCTGCCACAAAAGTTTTCTAAGGTTTGTTTAATGCAGGGGTTGCCAACATTATGCTCTGCAGATGTTGTTGTACTCTAGGTCCCATCAGCCTCAGTCAGCATAGCCAATCAGCAGGAGGACCACAGGTTAGCAAAAGATGGGCTAATGAAATGTTTAACGACAAGAGAGAGAATCCACCATTGTTCAGATACCACCTCTTTTTGAATGAGCTGTTGTGTGGGACAGTAAGTTTTTAAGCTGTGCAGAACCTTTCTGTAGGTAGGCACTTTGGGACAGATCAAAACACAGCAAACAGTTGGTCCAATAAATGTAGTATACAAAATGGTTCTTGGAACAATTGAGCCCTGTGAGGTAGCAATACAGTGGTGCCTCGCAAGACGAAAATAATCCGTTCCGCGAGTCTCTTCGTCTAGCGGTTTTTTCGTCTTGCGAAGCAACCCTATTAGCGGCTTAGCGGTTTAGCGCTATTAGCGGTTTAGCGGCTAAAAGGCTATTAGAAAGGGGGGGGAGCGAAAAAAATCGCAAGACTCGCAAGACGTTCTCATCTTGCGAAGCAAGCCCATAGGGAAATTCGTCTTGCGAAACAACTCAAAAACGGAAAACCCTTTCATCTAGCGGGTTTTTCGTCTTGCGAGGCATTCGTCTTGCGGGGCAGCACTGTAGACCCCTCAGATACTTAGGGAAGCACTTCCCTTTCAACTGACCATACAGTGGTACCTTGGTTTAAGAACAGATTAGTTTGTGAACAATTTGGATTAAGAATGCTGCAAACCCGGAAGTAGGTGTTAGGTTTGCCTTGGAATAAGAACATGCCTTGACTCAGGTAGGCTGTCTGGGAGGCACTGGTAGGATTCCCATAACACCCTTTTGGAACTCCTTTCCCCAGCACACATTTCTTTTTGCTCAGTTAACCCAACTTTGCAGATCAATCTCCTTCCCAACAGTATCTAGACCCCAGAGCTCTCTTAAAATGTGTAACAGGTACGATGAATTCACCTCTGTGAATAAGAAATGCAGGGGGCAGTGGCCAGCAAGAGGACCTCCTCAGTCACATGGCCTCACATTTGTAACTCACCCAGCTGCCACTCAGAACGTTGGGGTGTTTTTTTTAGCCTTGCACTGAAAAGGCCTTAGCCCAAACATTCCACTATGTTGAATAGTTTAACTGAGAGTTTTACAGTTCAGCCTAGTTTACTGGATAGACACTGGTGGTTGTTATTGTTGTTGTATTGTTTTGTTGTTTTAACTGAACACCACCTGGAGAGTTTACATTGAAAGGTGGCTCATAAATTTCTTAGGTAAATAGGTGGCTGCAATACAACCCAGAAGCAATAATGCATTTAATTCCCTGCAGAACCTCATTTTATAAAATTACCAAAATTCGTGTCCTTGGGTTTAGTAAGGAAAGATTAAGGAAAGGTTGAAAAAACCTCAAGCACAGGAATGTCTATTTTTTGTGTCATGAATTTATTTCCCTCACCCACCAATTTCTCCATAAGACTCATGTCATACTTCTTAAAAGGCAATACTTTCTCCAAAAACTCAAATCTGAAATGAAAGAATTTGAGTATATACAGTGGTGCCTCGCAAGACGAAATTAATTCGTTCCGCGAGTTTTTTCGTCTTGCGATTTTTTCGTCTTGCGAAGCACGGTTTCGGAAAAGTTTTGGAAAAGCTTCAAAAATACCAAAGTCTTCAAAAACCTCAAAAAAGGCTACCATACCGCGTGCTATGAGTTGCTCCTCGAAGTCAAGTTGCAACTGTATTAACGGTTTTAAGAAAAAGGAAACAAACTTGCAAGACGTTTCTGTCTTGCGAAGCAAGCCCATAGGGAAAATCGTCTTGCGAAGCAACTCAAAAAACCAAAAACCCTTTCGTCTTGCGAGTTTTCCGTCTTGCGAGGTATTCGTCTTGCGAGGTATTCGTCTTGCGAGGTACCACTGTATTTGCAACCCCAAATCAGAGTGTTTCTGTTCAATACAATGGCCCTGTTTATGCAAACATGGTTTATTATTATGGGAACAAGCTGCAGTGAGTCTCTGAGTCCTCCCCCCCCCTTCTCTGGCATGACTAGGAGGAGTTCCAAACTTTTGCTTCCACTGTAGACTAACCACAGTTAAGCATTATATCTGAACCTGGACAAACTGTACTTAGTCTTAACTATGGCTTGTTGAAACAAGCCAACTTCAAACCGTAACAAAGAGGCCGGTTTGTTTCAACCAAACACAGCTAAGAATACTCATAGAGTTTGGATGCCATGCTGAACTGTGCTTAATTGTAATCTTTCACTTCCAATTTCAATCTCTTTCTTGCAGCCACATCAGAGAGGAGAAGAGGGGTGCATAAATCCAAGGAATGGGTCGGCAAACTAAGGCCCGGGGGCCGAATCTGGCCCAACTGCCTTCTGGATCTGGGCCACGGACGGTCCAGGAATCGCCACATGGATCTGATTCTGATCGTTCGGGCAGCGCTATTCCCCCCCACACACACCATGACAGCACCTCCTCCTGGCTTCTCCCTGCCCTGCGTTGGAAGGGGGCTGGCCTTTGATTGGTGCCAGCAGCATTATTTCCCTCTCATTGGTGCCTCTTGGTTGGTGCTAGCAGCAGCAGCAGCGTGATCGCTCGAGCGGCCGCCATTTTAAGCAGGCTCAATTGGGGCTCTGTTGCTGCCTGCCCCTCTCCGGAGCCCTTTTACATGCCGCTCATCGTCCCACTGCTGCTAGCTCCTGCCACTCGCAAAACACAGGAGCTAAGCGCCCCTCTCAAGTGGCCACCATTTAAAGCGCCCCTCTCCGGAGCCCTTTTGCGAACTGCTCATAGTGCATCTGCCACCCCCTGTCGCTCGCAAGACACAGGTAAGCAGCCCCCATGGCTCGTCCGGTGCTGTGGAGAAGGGAGGGGAGAGTCGGGGGGTGGCTTACCTGAGCAGAATGTGTCCTTTTATTTAAAATGCATCTCTGGGTTATTTGTGGGGCCTGTCTGGTCTCCTTATACATGGGGTCGTCCAATACACGGAAAAATGGGTATATGTGAGCGTTGAGCATTCACACTATTTCTGAGCGCTGATTTTTTTATTTTAGTTTAGTAGTCACTACTGCTGGTATATTGTTTTTGTAGCTCTGTATTTATTGGTATTTGACTAATAGCAATTTTCCATCCCTAGGAAATTACGGTATATATATATTTTTTAAAAAGTTGACTCTGAGTGCAGGGTTTCAACGAACAGTGGACTTTCGATTACTTTTTCACGCAGTACAAAGAAAGAGCTGTTTGTCTGATATGCCAGAATTCAGTGTCTCTGTTCAAGGAATACAATTTGCTTCGACACTACAATACTCACCATAAAGAAAAATATGATTGTTTGGTTGGACAAGTGAGAAAAGATGAAATATTAAAACTGAAAAGTGGATTGACAACTCAGCAAAATATTTTTGTGAAGCAAAAGCAGCAAAATATTTCATTGTTGTGAGCAAGTTTTCACATTGCCAAGTTCATAGCGCACACTAGCAGACCCTTCGTAGAGGGAGAAATTGTTAAAGAATGCATTCTTTCTGCTCCCAAAGAGATGTGTCCAGAGAAGACTGATTTATTTAGTACATTGAGTCTTTCAGGGTGTACAGTTACATGTAGGATTGAAGAAACGGGGGGAAATTTGCATCAACATTTGCAAAACTCCTTGAAAAAACTTCATTATTTTTCATTGACACTCAATGAAATCACTGATGTTCATGATTCTGCACAACTTCTAATTTTCATTCGTGGGACAAATGGTAATTTCAAAGTCACAGAGGAGCTTACTGCACTGCAAAGCATCAAGGGAACAACAATAGGAGAGGGTATCTTTGAAAAAGTTTGCCAAACTGTGCATGATTTGGAGCTGGACTGGGCTAAACTAGCCAGTGTCACAACTGATGGTGCTCCTAGCATGGTGGGGTCTATGAGAGGAGTGGTTGCACGCATTAACCAAGAGATGGCCAAACACAACCATTCACATCCAATAGCCATACACTGCCTCATCCACCAACAAGCACTGTGTTGTAAAAAAATCCCTGAAGTTGGATGTCACGAAAACTGTGGTATCTTGTGTTAACTTCATTAGAGCTCATGCACTAAACCACAGACAGTTTCAGGAATTTCTGTCTGAGTTAAATGTTGACCATGAAGATATTCCGTACCACACAGAAGTCTGTTGGCGAGTCGAGGGAGAGTTTTGAAACGTTTTTATTACTTACTTCTGAATGTTTCTGTTTTTATGCTTATGAAAAACAAAGAAGCTCAAAGATGCAGAATGGAAATGGCTGCTTGCCTTTCTGACAGACGTAACAGAAATACTCAACCCTTTCAATATTCAATTTCAAGCAAAATTAGACCTCCTCATTAAACAAGTGAAGAAGGAAAACTTCTGGCATCTCCCCACAACTCAAAACATGTCGGCAGGAAAACCAGCAGTTGCATTCCCAAACGAAACATGTGGATTTACTGGAAATTTTGCAAAAGGATTTTCAAACTTGATTTAAAGAGCTTCACATCCATGAGCAAGACATACAGCTTTCCTGGAACCCTTTTTCTGTTGACATTGAAACTGCTGATCCAATTTACCAAATGGAATTGAACGAACTACAGAATTGTGACTCTCTGAAAGATGCTTTCAAATCAAGCAGCCTCACAAATTTCTATGCTTCTCTCCCCTCTGAGACATATCTGAAGCTCAGGAACCATGCACTCAGATTTGCAACCATCTTTGGCAGCACGTATGTCTGTGAACAGACTTTTTCCTGAATGAAATCTCCAACCAGATCCAGATTAACTGATGAACACTTGCATCACTTGCTACGACTAGCTGTGACAAATATGGAACCAGATATCGACCATATCATTAACCAAAAGCAGGCCTGCTGAAAAAGTCTGCCGACCCCTGATCCAAGGCTTACACACATAAGTCTTTGTACATTTTTTTGGTTTGAACTGGGCCTTAGAATCCAGAAAGACATAGGGAGGGCACAGAGGTTGAGAGAGAAGTCTTCTTTGCCCAATACAAATTTTGTTACATCAGTTGTTCTATGTAGTCCCTTACAAAAACAAATGAAGTAAGCATGTCTGCAAAGTCTGCTTTTCTTTTCTTTTTAAAGTTCACTCCTTCCCCGCCTCCCCAATCAATACACTGTTTTGGCTCCCCTCGCCCCGAGAATTCTCAACACCCAATAAAAGAGCACTTCATGTTCCTGTCAGCCTGCAAATGGCAAAAGCCATTTGTAAGCAGTGCTCAAACACAAGGCATTTCAGTTGCCGACTGAAATGCTACAGCGGGTGTGGAGGAGGGAGGGAGTAGGGGACACAAAGAAAAGAACAATGCAGCAAAAACTAAGAGAAGCCATGCAACAAGCTGGGGAGGGTGAAATGGGGTGGAGGGATATTCCAAACAATGCAGGACTCTTTGCTGACTGAAAACAGGCCTCACACATTTCCAGCTGTATTTTAAAAGGCAGTGAGTAAAGTAACAGTAGCAGAAGCCACCCATGCAAGCTAAAGACAAACAGGCTCACTCACAGTGCCACTGTTGCTCAAAAGATGGTCACTCACTATCCCCACGTTTTAAGTCTAGAAAGCTAAGCCCCAATCTTTGCTGAAACAGATTCAATAGTCAGCACTGTTCCAGTTAGGAGAAGTTCAGCAGCAGCTCATCATGCAATTGCAAAGTAGAATCAAAGCCAGCCCTACTTTTAAAGTCTCTATTAGTGTGCATTCCTGAACTCTCAACAGATGCTGAAAACCAATACAATTAGCACTTACATTTATGAATAGGAGAGAGGTTGAAACTCAGCTATTTTCCAAACAAATTTTATCCTCCCCAAAAAAGACTAAACCTGGGTATAAACCACCTTGGCAATTGACTTACTTGATTACTAAATTTAATCTCTACTTATCTCTTGCGACCCACTTCTCTTGCAAGTGGGCAAGTTCTTGGCTATCAAAATCCTCTGTGATTTTGGTTTGCCTCCCATTTCTCTATGGGAAATGAAAGTAAGGAACCTCTTTCTCTCCCACAGCCTCCCACAAGGTAGCTCTGCAGGCACAGCGTAAAAGATGAACACACCTGTTCATAGTAAGGAGACAGAAAGAGGTCACATCAATGCACAGACATGAGTGTGCTTAAGGTGATAGGCTCAGACCAATGTTTTACTCTTGGACCCTGAACTTCCATCTGTGACAGCCACTACTGGATCACCTTCAAGAGTCCCTTTAATCATGGCCAACAAGAAATGGGATTGAAAGATACGGAATTGGGTACCAATTAATAAACATGCAATAAATAAATAACTGTGGATTATTATAAGGAAACCTCTTGGAAATAAAATTGTTATACTGGAATGGAGGAAGAATAATCTTTCTATCTAGTAATAATAGCAACTGAAACAGCCCCTTTTGGTCTTTCTGTGTAGAAAGGAAAATAAACGAACTTCAGGGGTCTGGGACTGAAGATTGAGAAAACAACACCTAGCAGACTGAGGAACAGTTGGACATTGTCCTAGAATACAGTGGGATGCTATTGTTGTGGAGTGAATGTTTTGAATACTTTGAATAATCTGAATATACATAATGGGCAAATGGAGAATAAGAAGTCCTCTATTGCCTTGATCTCTCTTTTCATTTTTAATGATATTTAGCTTTTGTCCCTTTTTTGGTTAATTCTATTTCTGTTCATGTTTTATTTCGTCTTTTGATGTCCTCTACCTTGAGTTGATGAGGATAATCAGACAAAGATGATGAAGGACTGATGAAGGACTCTGCATGAGAAGCAGAGAAGGGAAGAACTTTCAGGCTGGGAGTAGAAACGGAAGAACCCAGGTGAGAGCTGGGAGGGTATCCTCCCCTTTGTGGCTCTGTATAAAGAGGGCTCTGTATTCTCTCTCTCTCTCTCTCTCTCTCTCTCTCTCTCTCTCTCTCTCTCTCTCTCTCTCCCTATTCTGTCTCTTTGTTTTCCCCCTCTCTTCTCCCCCCCTTTTCTCTATTTTTATTTAGATTAGTTTGATCCCTCACTCCCTCTGCACCCCTTTGAACCATGAAGCACACAACATTTTTCTTTGTGGCACTGTGAAGGAACCCAAATTCTTGCAGACACCCAGAGAGCACAGAGGAGCAGCAAGACAAGGCCAAACATTTTGGTCTGGTTATTTCTTACCAATTCCTCTATCTTTGTACTGAGTTGTTTGTTTGTTAGATTGCTGGAGTCTAGGGCTACTGCCAGCTCCTGGTAACGTGTCTGATGGGCACATGCAGATAGCAGGAGGAGGAGGAGGAAGAGGAAGGGAGTAGAAAAGGGGAGAAAAGGCAAATTATTAAAAAAAAGGGAGAGAAAATAATAATCAGCATCACAGTTGAACTAATTTGTGGTGTCCATTCTTACACAAACACACCATCCCCCACCATTACCAAATACATACTAAACCACCAAAAGCTTAATCTCCTTTCAGAGGAACATCAGGATGGATCTTTAGTACTTCCATAACCCAGTCTAAAAGCCACTGCAGGAGCCTTCATCTAAACAAGTAAAACTTTAACATGTAATGTTGTTGTCATTTCTTGCACTCAAGTTAAGTTCTTATTACTAGTACAAACACTAGACTCGTTACTATATTGTTCAAAGAAATGCAAACTGACAAAGAGCCAGGAACACTGCACTTACTGCCATCTCTTTCATATCTGTTGAAGATGTGGCGTTTTCCCCATTCACATAGGCCGTGGGCTGTAAAATAAAGATATTTGCCATCACAACTAGTTAACTTGGAAAATGTGAACATGAATTTCAGTTAAATATTTCCCTTAGTGGGATGACGACACTGCTACAGAATAAGAAAACTTTGAAACTGGAGAATAAACACAAAGGTAACTTAGTGTACCCACTACGGCAAGAGGTTCTTTCAAACACCCACCTACCTATATTACAGGCACTCTTCCCCTTCCTATGATTAATGCTAAGGTAGATTGTGTTGGAAGTTCTACAAGTAAAATACCCCATACAGTGGTACCTCGTGTTGTGTAACCTCCAGGTTACAGAATCTTCAGGTTATGGCTGAAGCGCTCTATTGTGCTGTGCGTGCACAGAAGCGACCCCTCTAGTTACGGATTTTTTGGGGTGCATACAGCACCCCAAAACAAATTAAATCCGTAACCAGAGGTACCACTGTACATGGTTCAGGTAAGCTAAATGTGCCTCATAATATACTGGTAATATACTGATGAAAGATCAGAGGATCTTTTAGGTTTGATTTACACATGCAGCCAACACAAAGCAGTAAAGTATTGAGGTAGCAGAATTCAGTGTAACACTTTAGATCATAAACGGAGGTTCACGTTTTCAAAATGTTCTCTTGCACTAAAAATAAAGACACCTAAACTATAGGTAGAAAACTAGAACAACAGACTGGACTAGAATCTTTCTTACTGGCATGCTAGGTTTTTACCCACAGAGAGGCTATTTTTAAAAAATGTGTTTCTACCCCACCACCTCTCTGCTGTCCTGGTTCACACATAACACAAAATTCTGGTTTATTAAACCATGGCTTAGCATTATGTGCAAACTCAGTCCAGCAGCTTAAATATGGTTTACTACAAACAATCCACAATTAGAAGAGATGCTTTGCTGTTGGCTTATAAACCTAAGTTTGTTTTACCTATGGCTTAATTTTATATGTGAAAGCAGCACTCTTCCTTGACTATGTTTGCTTGACCACCACACTCTAAAATATAAGGTGTTAGGTACGAATCTCCAGAACAAACCACAATTTGATTTGTCTGTGAGACAACCTCTCATTAGCTCATGGTTTGTTAAATCATGGCTTAAACAAACTTCATTTGCACATAATGGTTATAGATAAAGAGCAAACACATGGGCACTCAGAGCAAGCTTGCAGTGAGCTGTTTGGCTCACTGTTCATGGTTTGGACTAAAGGGAAACCACATATATGAGTTAATATGCAATGTTAAGCTAAACCATGGCTTACCCCCCAGGTAGCACAGCACCAGCAGGACCAGGGGAGGAGCAAAGAGGGTGCAATTTTTGCTAAGTACTCTCAACCATGGTCATTCACACTTAGCATTATGCACAGACTGGGCCACTAGCAAATTTACATATAGATGAAAAAGCCTTGGATAATATGGTCAATTATTACTACTCCTGTTGTTTTAGCTGAGATGCTTTTAACTGCTTCTTGTCTAGCTGTATTTAAACTGGATTATTCCAGGATGGTTCCAGTGGTGAACTATATAGTCTCTTGAATATAAATATGCCACTTTTAAGATGCCACAAGATTAACAGGCTAACAAGGCTACATTTATGGAATTTGAACCTCTGATAAGAAATACAGTGGTACCTCAGAAGTCAAATGGAATCCGTTCCGGAAGTCCGTTCAACTTCCAAAAAGTTCAGAAACCAAGGCACAGCTTCCGATTGGCTGCAGGAATCTCCTGCAGCCAATAGGATGCCACGTCAGACATTTGGGTTCCAAAGAACGTGTGCAAACCGGAACACTCACTTCCAGGTTTGCGGCATTTGGAAGCCTAAACAGTCAACTCACAAGGTGATTGGGATCCAAGGTATGACTGTAGACAGAAAACAGCTTCTTTAAGAGAAAGTGGACAGCCCTTTCATGTGTTACCAGTGTATAACCCTTGAGTATATCTCATTCACACAAACTTCCCACAGACCACATGACACACACCATTTCTGGCTTTCAGTCTGAAAGCATCTTCAGGTTTTATTGTCTGGCTGCAAGGAACCATACAATAACTGAAAATTCAAGAGTTGGCCATCCCTTAAGATTCCCTTAGATTAAGAGGCAATCTAATACCCATCTTCAGATATTTGAAGGGCTGTCACAGATGATGGAGCAAATTTCCTCTATATTCCAGAGGGTAGGACCCAGACCAATGGACTCAAATTACCAAAAAAAGAAAGAAAAAGACTAAATATTAGGAAGAACTTCCTGACAGTATGATAGGTGTTCAAGAGTGAATCAGATTTCCTTAGAAGGTGATGGACTCGCTTTTACTACAGAAGTTCATAATCAGAGGTGTTGTAGTTGCAGATTTCCTGCATCAGCAGAAGGATGGACTAGATGTCCTTTGAGATCTCTTCTAGGTCTATGATTCTAAGACAGACAGATCAGAAGAACTTGGCTTTTACCTGATTGACCATGCCATTAAGCTGTTCAGACAGCTGGCGGAGACTATCTGCCAATGAGAGGGACCTAAAAAAGGAACATGACACACAACAAACATCTGTAATAAAGTAGACATTAAGAACAATCCTCATTTTTAGTGACTGGAATATGATGGAGAGAGCAGGAGAGAATACAGAGAGAAGCGTCTCACCTATTTTCTTCCAAGGCATTTTTATGATCAGTGTCACAGATCTGTGAAATAAAAAAGATACATTACTGTAGTAGTAATCAGAAGCACAAATATATGCATATGTACAAGCATGCACATGCACAGATATATGTAACTCCAACAAAAGACTGGATACACTCCTCTCCTTCTGAGTGACACCTCACAACATCTACCATTGTTTATTCCCCAACGCAAGAATGAGGGACCTGCAGCCCTCCACATGTTGTTGGATTCCAGCTCCCATCATCCCTGCCCATCAGCTAGGACTAACGGGAGCTGGAGTTCAACAACATCTAGAAGGCCACAGGTTTTGCATACCTGCCCTGAGGACTGCTTCAACATAGGATGCACAAAACATAGTACACCTAGACTTCTATACAATAGCACATGGGTAGGCTAAGGCCCGGGGGCCAGATCGGGCCAAATTGCCTTCTAAATCCGGCCTGTGGACGGTCCGGGAATCAGTGTGTTTTATTTGTGGGTCATAGGAATTTGTTCATTCCCCCCCCCAAAATATAGTCTGACCCCCCACAAGGTCTGAGGGACAGTGGAACGGCTCCCTGCTGAAAAAGTTTGCTGACCCCTGCCATAGCACAATTCAAGAAAAAAGACTTAATAAGCTTCACATATTTAATGCTCAAGCAAAGGGTCAGGCTGGTTGTCTATCACTTTGTTTTGTTAGGAATTTTTCAATTAACACTTACTTTTTTAAAAATATAGAAATGTTCATTACTTTAGATCAGGAATGGACAACTTCAGTACACAAGGAACCACAGAGGATATGTATCATGAGTCAGAGGGCCACAGCTCACACACATTAATATAAATTGCATATAAGCTGAACAGACAGGCAGAAGGTGCTAAACCAGTTGGTTGACACCATCAAGTTATTCCTATCTTGAATTTATTACCTAATAAGAAGGAAATTAGAAGTCAGCCTCAGGGCTTGGCAGATATGGAAACAGAGTAGACAAATATTTGGCTTTACTATTGCCCTTACATTTCAACCATCTAGAAGAGATGTACCAATAAATGTTAAGATGTGAAAGCTAATCTATAGGCTACAGGAGAGAGCTTAGGGGGCCACAGTGCCCAACGCGGTGCCCAACTGTACTCATCTCACCCTTCCAATGAAACTACATTCAATCAATGGCTGAAGACTGAGAGATGAAGACTGAGAGATGAAGAAGGAGTGTATTGTGCAACCTAAATCTAAGGGTTCTGTACAGCCAATTCCTCCTATAGTTGCAGAGTGACAGGCCAGTGTTGATAACTGAAATGTCTGTGCTACCATCACCTCCCCGCTCTTTTGTGAAGTATGCTTTGCTCTATATTTCAAATACACACACACACACACACACACACACACACAGTTATCTAGGGTGTTCAGTGTGGGGGATGCAAACATTGACAAACCTGCAACAGCTGCATGCTACCAGGACTTGGAGCGGCAGAGCTAGGCAAACTGTTGCTGTTAGACAGCATGTGGACACCAGCAGCGAGTTGTTCAGCATTGTGAGCGGAAACATCACCATCACAGTATGCCTGTCACAAAACATACCATAAAGATTACAAGCACCATGCAGGTGAGGGGGAAACCAGATGAATACAAGCATGCACCATTTCTAGAAGAACCTGTCAAACCTAGAGGCAGATCAGCGGAGGAATGCTCTCCTCAGAACAATGTACAAAAAATGTACATGTACACACACAAAAAGCTAATCCTGTGAACTGTCACTACCTGCTGGAACTTCTTGCAGAAATCAGTTCAATGTTTTTGGTGTGATGCAAACATGGTGGGCAATGCCAACCTCAACATGGTTCATGTTACATTGATCCTTTACTTTTGCAAAGTGCATATTCCTGGGAAGACCGCTAATCAGATAAGGATGGAACAGAATGAGTCACTATACACACCTAGATTGTATAGTGGGAGTGGGGAAAACATTTCTCCCAAAGTGCTGTCCGTGGTTTCCAAGACACCAAAGTTAGAGACTGGCAACCAGGGACCAAATTTAAACTGAATGTAAAGAGGAATATTGTCTGTTAGACCTCAGTGAACTGGTGCACACTAACCCTAGGTTCAAGTAATTAAATATCCAAAGAGATCCCCCAAACAGCTCATGGATGAAGTTCTAAGCCAGGGGTTGGCAAACTACAGCCCAAGGGGGTTGTTAAACCACCCCCCGGCCCTTGCTGCCTGCTCAGTCAGTCCCCGCACGGAGCTAAACAGGTGCGGCACGCCGGTTTAGCTCTGTGTGGGGACTGCCTTCCAGGACACAGCCACAGCTTCCTATCGGCTGCAGGAAGCTCCTGCAATCAATAGGAAGCCGCAGATGCCTCCTCCTCCGCTACTATGGCTCCGAAAGCCAATGGGCAAAGAGCGACGAGCATGTGCGCATGTGCACGGGTGCGCGCACGCTCTGGCCCGCGGGCAGAAAAGTTTGCCGACCTCTGTTCTAAGCATTAGAGAAAGAGAAGAGGCAGCAAATTTGAGAAAGCGGCCAACAGGGCTGGGAGGGAGAAAGAAATAAAGTGACTCAGTTCAGATATAATACCATTCAAGCATTAGGCTCATTTTTGGGGAGAAGATCCAGAGTTGTTTTGCTACTCCTCTGGTCCTGCTGCTGCCACACTGCTGTGAGCAACATGTCTGAACCCAGACTCATGGTTTATCTTGCTCCAGACAAACCACAAATGGTTTGTCATGTCATATAACAAACTTGGGCTACAGCTTGTGTTCTGTCTGTAGTAAAATAAATCATGAATCTGGGTTTGGGCATAATACTAAGCCAAACTAGCAGCAGCAAGGCCAAATGAAGAATAAAGCAACTGTCAACTCTCCTGGAACCTGCATGTTTGCTTATCCATGGTAAGCCATGATTGGCCACTGTGAGAAGAGGATGCTGGACCACATGGGCCTCCAGCCGAACCCAATAGGGCTCTTCCTATATGTTTTTATTACCATGGAAATTTTAAGTATTGCTAGAATGGCTGGTACCTACCCACCCTTCCCTGCGCAAGCATCTCTAACCTTCATTTTATCCTGGCACTTTTGTTCCCAAGAACACATACAGAGGACAAAGAGACACATTTGTTAGATCTTCAAATACGCACTTTGTCCTTTGACACATTGTACAACTGTTAATGCAATCAGCCTGCCAAAGTGATAGAAGCTCATTCTCAGACAAAAATCTCTGAAGCCTATAACATGTGGTAGCCTCAAGAAAATAGATCACACATTGGTGACTTGGACAGTGTGAAGGTCCCAAGCACCCCAACACCTCTGAAGGTACATGATTTTCCTTCAGGAGCTATACTGAAATATTTCTGTTCTGCCTAGGCCCAGCAACAGAGGTTGTGCAAGCACAAATAACAATATTGTCTCAGTTGCCAGTATTCATCTTTTCTGCCCAGTAGAGTCAAATAAGTATTCCAAGGTAGCATTTCACTAAATCTGACATTCTACTAAAAAGAGTTCAGGAACCCTCCTTCTAGTTAAGAGTGCTCTCAGGGTGTCGATTCTACTACACAGTGAGCAGTCCAACATGTTGTTGTTGTTTAGTCGTTTAGTCGTGTCTGACTCTTCCTGACCCCATGGACCAGAGCACGCCAGGCACTCCTGTCTTCCACTGCCTCCCGCAGTTTGGTCAAACTCATGCTGGTAGCTTCGAGAACACTATCCAACCATCTCGTCCTCTGTCGTCCTCTTCTCCTTGTGCCCTCCATCTTTCCCAACATCAGGGTCTTTTCCAGTCCAACATACCAGGGATCAACTAAGTAACCCCTATTGGTAAACTTAACTGGAAAACCTGAATCTTTCCATCTTAAGTACCTCCTTGGAGATATGTCAAATGATACTACCCTGGGCATGGCTAAGTTCCTCTCAGAAGTAATAAGAAATAGAAACCAACATGGTCTGGATAAAACATAGTGACCGCCTTAGAATCCTTTTCTTGTATTTCTGTTTTATTTTGCTTCTGAAAATGTTTTTGTGGGTCTTTGGACCAAAATAAAGAATGTGTGTGAGTTAGGAGTGTAACACCCTTAAAGGACCTACTGCATCAAACACTAGCCATATTCAGGCATTCACCTACTGCTGCCATGTACGTATTAAGGGTTCACGTCTTTAGAGCAATGGACCCTGATCATGTACCGTCACACACTGCAGTTGGAGCCTACACACATAGGGCAATTTCTCTTCTACACATATGCCTGTACACACAACAGTGTGCAGAAAGCAGAGGAAGAAGTGGTGATACAAGGGCAGGGCCAGCAGACATAGCGGTTCTGCTCTCCCATTCACTGGATTGTTAATCACAGGGGCAGAAGGTTTTACACTGATCTCATATATTGTCACAAACTGTGATATAAATTAGTGCAGAGAATTAGCATGGTGTCAGATTAAGACTGGGAGACCTGAATTCAAATCTCTACTGAGTGACTCTCAGCCAGTCAGTCTCTTTTAGAATTGCTGCAGGTTAAAAGGGTGGGTGGAGAACCATGTGTGCTCCTCTGAGCTCTTTGGAGGATGGGCAATATAGAAAAGCAAATAACTAATACATTCCCCATTTCCCAAGTGAAAGAAATGAAAGCTTGTTCTCAGCTCCCCAGATAATTCATGAACCAAAATTTGGAACTCACTGGCTACATAACTAGATTGAAACATGTCATTCTGTGGTAGCATATCACTGAAGACAACTCACTTCTACCTAAAAGAGTATTTCTCCATTTCAAAGCAAAAAGCTTCAATCTGGCCACTATCCCAAGGGACATTTTCACTGAACAAACACTGTATCATCTCAAGGGAACAGCATTTCTTTTTTAACCACCATTTGGCTTATCCTAAAGATTAGGGCCAATGTTCCTTTTACTGTGTCAATCTGCTTAGGATAATGTAGGTTCCTGAAAGATGAAGCCTTTTCCATAGTGGTAGCCAAATGATGGAATAGCCTTTCCAGAGACGTATGCCTAGCACTGGTCAATTTCAGATGGGCAATGAAGGCTATGGTGTTCCAGAACAAAGTTTTTAAGGTACGTTGACTCTTTGAATGTTGTTTTTAACATATTTGTATGTTGTATTTAACATGTATGTTAAATACATGTTGTATTTAATATAAATACATATTTATATATGTATTTTTTTTATATCATGTTTATAGTCTATTTATTATAATTTGCCTTGAATATATTCTGCTCAGAAAGCCAGGATATACTGAATACAGAACTCTATTATTTTAAAGTTACAGCTGGAGAACTGAGACTGATTGACTTTCAATGGTTAAGACAGACCTAGACTCAGGTTTCCATGCTGAAGTCCAACACTTTCTTCATGAAGCACACGTCCTCATGAAATATCATCATCAGAAATAACTGAAAGATTGGCTTTATACCAGACACAGGGAATGAGATATTGGACTCCTAATTCATATAAGTGCAGGTAACAAGAGGTGATAGGAGCTGGAATCCAACAACACCTGAAGGGCCACAGATTTCATATCCTTGCCCTATACAATACAAACAGCAACACCAGCTACCAGCCAAACATCCTCATAGGCCATCCAGCTTCATAGGAAATAGGCCTTGTAACTTTTACAACAGTTGCATTTCCTGCAGGAATGTGCAGCTTTCCATCTAAAAAATCCACATACAGTATTTTGCTCATAATAGGATTTTGAAGATAGCACACAGGTTTACTTTTCACCCCTGATTTTGTAACCAATACAATATGGTTATTTTGATGCCTGAATTCAAATGCAACAGTAAGTTGAAATGGCACCCACAAAGTTAATGTTAATGTTTGGTGGGCATATGCCAACACCAAAGATAAAGCTAAAGCTTTAAAGGAACATAGGAAGCTGTCCTTTACCTAGTCAGATCATTGGTACACCTAGCTCAACATTGCCCACACTGACTGGCAGCAGCTCTTCAGGAATTCAGAAAAGGGACTCCCTGGAGATGGTGGGGATCGAACCTCGTTTCTTCTGAATAAAAAGCAAATGCTATATCACTAAGCAATGGAAATAAAAACAGCTTGCAGACAGTTGTTTATTCCCAACTTATTTTGATATTTATATATTTTTCAGGGGGGAAAGCTAATTATGTTTATTATTTTTAATTTATTGCATTTATCTATCACTGTTTTCTCCAAGTACTCAAGGTGGCACACATGGTTCTCTCTTTCCTTATTTAATCCCCACAACAATTTTTTGAGGTAGGTTAGGATGAGAGACAGTGACTGGCTCAAGGTCACTCAGTGAACTTCATGGCTAAGTGTAAGATTTGAGTCCTGGTCTCCCAGGGCCTGGTCCAAGACTCTTAACTACTACACCATTACTGGCTCTCTGCTTTCTAAAACATGGCAAGAGTGTGCTTTAAAAATACTCAGATGCAGCCAACTCAAGCAGACTGGTTTCTATTAGACCCAGCCCTTTATTTTTAATTGAATTCAACCTGGGTTAGCAAAGTATGCAAAACCCAGTTTTCCTAACAGTCCTTTGTAAGGCAAGGAATAGGAAGACTCTTTCTGCCTAGGTAAATCTAAATGTGCATTACTCCTCAGACTGTATCATGTGTTCAAATTTCATTGCCTGTCAAACAATGAGTTGGAATGATTAACCCACATAGCTTATCCTTCAGGGCAACAGTTTGAATATAGATGAGCAAGAACATGCATTTCTGAGATGAGGTGCTTCTACAACAAACAAACAAAACCCACTAACATGGGGAAAAGATCACAAGCGAAATGGAAGTCAAGCCCAACCTGCAGTCCACAGTGAACAACACTACTTATGCATTCATTCACTATCACCTTGGAAACAGTAGTATTGGGGGTGGCAATCCCTTCAGATATGCTTGACATTCCAAAACAGCTGCTTTAAGCAAAGCAATCTTAAAAATCCAAGAAGCAACCCTTCTTCACAATTGTAATTTGAGCCACATTAAGGGAAGTGCACACAAGAACAACAGTGGGGGAGCAGGTTAAAAATAGTTCAATGTTAATGATAGCCAACAACATTCACGCAGCTAAACAAGTATGACAAGTATCCCAAAATCTGTTCCACCCACCCAAGAAACCCTAATTTGCAAATAGGAACTGAATCATGCAGTATGGACAGCAAGCCAGTTGGACAGTTTCTGAATGCTGCCTCACCTTCCTCTTGTCCAATGAAGGTATGGCTACCCCATTGGAGCGGTTAAGGTCTGACACCAACACCTTCAGAATGTTCTGAATCTAAAGGGGGTGAAAGAAAAGTGGAAAGAGAAACAGCTGAGAAAAGGGACAGAATGAGAACATTGTTCAGCGGGTTCCTGAAGCCAAAGGAACAAGAAAAAGGAAAATGGCAGAGATCCTAATACCAACAAGATGGTAGTAACTTGCTTGCGCACAATCCGTTTAGGATAAAGATGCAACTAACTCCTTCACTCCAGCAGCATATACAAAAAAATACTATTCCCTCAAGACAACCAAGGAGCCAAATATTTCTTTCTACTGAATTTCCCATCTTTACTTATCTGTTATCAACTGATTATTGTATTTATACCCCCCCCACTTCTGTCCAATGAGTTCAAGGTGTTTGTAGTACTAAAGAAAAACACACAGCCTTCTTCAATTTTTTACAGTGTTAAAACTATCTTCAAACAGAAGTAGAAGCAAAATATTTTGGAGCATTTAAAATAGTTAAGTAAGCCACTCACGTTTTCAGGAGACTCTCTGCCATCATTAGTTGGTGTCTCTGGTCTACTTCCTTCTTTGCCTTTACGTTTCTTCTTTGCTCCAGCTGCTGACCCAGGGCTATTCTTCTGTTGATATTCCTTCAGCTAAGAAAAAGAAGAAAAACCTGAAGTCTAACTAATTAAACCTTCTACACTGAAAGCTAAGAAGTAAAACAGAAAGAGCTGGAACAAAAAACACAGTAAAAACTGATGAAGAAAAAGACCAGAGTGATTATTGAACTTGCTGCTGTACAGAATGGTTTACAAACCACATTAAACTATAGTTTAAAACAAACAATGGTTTGCGGTGATTAAGCAGCATGCTAGTGCATGCTGCTTAGAAGTTCCCACAGTGCTCCTTCTATGCACCTGCTGCTACTGCTCTACAAATGAAAAAGTCAAAGTCTGGCTTCTCATATCCTCTGAAACTGCATTCATGGTTTGCTTTCTCCAAACAGACTATAATGGTAAGCCAAGAACAAGCCTTGGTTATTGCTCATGGTCTCTTTGGAGACCAACAAACCAGAATCCCAGGTTTGGACAACACAACAAGTCAGACTCTGGATTGTTTCAGCTGTAATACAGCAGCAGTCGGGGGGGGGGGGCTGCGTGAATGAGCAGTCTGCAACAGCACACTACTGGTTCACACGAAACAATAGTTTGCTTTAAACTATAGTCAACTATAGAAAACAGAAACCTGTTTGTTTTCTAGAGCAACTGCAAGCTAAATACAACCACACTGTAGAATGAAAAAGCCCTTGGCATGTTAGTCCTTTTTTGTGTTATGTGCCAGAGGGTTCAGTTTCACTGATCTAGTTAAAACTTTCAGAAACTCCCATTTCCTATTTCATCTCAACTAAGCCTCGCAAAAGTGGCAGAATACAAACCCCATCTTGAGTCAATCAATAATTTTCAGAGTATTAGAGTGGTCAACATGGAACTTCATAAAGCATTCTGCAACTTCTGAGTCTGTGGCAATACCACCAGGTTCAAGTTTCAAACCTTGCAAACACTTGCAATATAACTAGCTTACAGTATACGTAACCAGTAATTACTGACAGTTCAAATGGTCACATAACAAGAATCTGGTGGTGATGGGCACAGGATTGTTACCAGGAATAGTTCAATTTTAAAAATAATATTTTCCATTTCTTAAGCATAAGCATCTTAAGCTATGGAGAAAGTACACAAGCAAAATTGAAAAAAAAAATTCAAATTGCTAGGTGCCTGGGCAAAAAGGCTCCTGGGAGTTTCCAGACACACCCACAAGGGAAGGTTAAAAATCCCACAATGTATTACAGCTTACTTTTAACCATCTGTACGTCAAGGTGCTTACTTGCTACAGAGAAGTTACTTGTACGAGCCCAGTCATGTTGACAACTAGGCTGTTAAGAACAATTTCTCTGTAGCCCATGATGAACTAATTATGCTGGTTTGGCTGTCTGTGGCATTTCTAAACCTGGTTATATATATAACTTTAACACATTTATTTCTTCAATACATTTAAGCTATAGTGCCAGATGTTAAAAACATGATACAACTTGCGTATTTAATTATTATTCAGTGTTCTGGTTTATGAAGATAAACATATTGTTGTTCATATCCCAAGGCTCAGGATGTGAATAAAATTTTCTCACTATTTTTATCCATACAATATCTGTGTTATGAAGAATCACCTGTATTAACACATCAGAAATTGAGGCAAGTTACTTGCCCAAAACATGCCTCAAAATATGAGTGCAACGTGAACTCAAATCTCCCACTGCTAAGCCAAAAAATACGATCCACAAAATCATGACAAATCTATTTGGCATTCAAAAATGGAATTTCTGAAGGCCTAAATCATGTATAAGTTGGCAATCACTGCTCTTGAACATACCGCCAAACCATATTCAGAAGACTAAGTCCTCTATTCCCTTATATTCATCAACTCAATTTTAACTGCTTTCTACTCATGTATCTATCCAGTGTGGTCATGTTGATAACATGGGAGAAAATTATTGTACTACTGAGATTAAGAGATGGGAGATCTGCTGGCAGCTGGTATCAATGTAAAAGGTACACTTTTCTTCAAGACAGAAAGCAGAAATCACTACACCGTAGATCCACTGTTATGGTTAAATCAGGCCTCAAAAATCACTTGCTGGAAGTGATGTCAGCTAAGCCTTTCTGGAACACTCTTTCATGCACCTTCTGCTAGCTGGTCATTTTCTTCCACCTCCCCAGCTTTCCTACAAATTTATCACTTTGTGATAGGGAAAAGGTAGAGGGAGCTCATAATGAAATTCACAAGCCCCACCCCCTAAACCACCAAATTATGACTTCCCAGCAGTCTTTTATAAATACCCACTAAGGCCATCATAAAAAAATATTAGAGTAGCTCTGAACAAGTTGTTTCCTCCCAAGCTGAATGCTAACCATCTACATTTGGCTGCTTAAGGATGTCACTACTGCAGCTTTGAAACAACCAGCTTTTCAATGACAAATTTTAAAAGCTGCTTCTGACAGAAGGGCTACCATGTATCAAATATGACTCTTAAGTTCATGTTTGCACAACTGGCATGTGTTTAGAGGCATCATCACAACCATTCTATCGCTAGAAATTAGTGCATGCCGTACATGGATGTGCATTTTGCCTAAATGTTTGGACAGCTGCCTAGAATATTCTGCAAACTGCACCCAACTTTCCTACCTGAAGCAGCAGCTTCACAGTGATTCATTGTATGGCTGTAACTGCTTTTGCAATAAGGGTAGGTGCTCTTTACTGCCCTCACTAAATGGATGCAGTCCCCCTCCAACCAGGTGCAAAGCTAGGGAGATCACCTATTTTCAACTTCTGATTATCTTATGTTCACATACAGGTATGTGGAACAACGACAGCTTAACATCTACAAAGTGGAGGGTGATTAGAGTAGAGTAGACAACTATTCTTGAGGACAGGTTATAACAATGTATAAAAGCCATAGCAGAAATTCGTAATTGAACAGGTGATGTGTAGTAGGGAGAAGGGATGAATATATTTTGAAATGATAGTTGGAAAAGTTATTTTATTGGGAGCAGCAAAGGAGGGAGGAAAATAGAGGGGACATTTGGGGTGGGTGGGAAGTCAGCTTTTAAATTGTATTGAATTTGTATTAATTTGGTGACAATTTGTTAAAAATTATGGAAAATCAATAAAAATAATTGGCAAAAATAATAATAATAATAATAATAATAATAGGCAAAGTGGAGGGTGAATGTATTGCAGAATGTGTATGCTATCTAGATTCTCATCCCAAATAACGCAAGAGTTAGGGAATCTGGGGACAGATTTTAAACCACAGATTGACCTCCCTGCTATAAAAGTGGATACAGTGGTACCTCTGGTTAAGTACTTAATTCGTTCCAGAGGTCCGTTCTTAACCTGAAACTGTTCTTAACCTGAAGTACCACTTTAGCTAATGGGGCCTCCCACTGCTGCTGTGCCACCGCGGCACAATTTCTGTTCTCATCCTGAGGTAAAGTTCTTAACCCGAGGTACTACTTCCGAGTTAGCAGAGTCTGTAATCTGAAGTGTTTGTAACCCGAGGTACCACTGTACTCTGATACTTCTCAAAGACACTAGAAGGTCATTTTCCAGAGAATAGCAAAATAATTCCCCATGGAGGGAAAGGTGGAATAAAACCATTTTTAAAATTAGCATTCACAATAAAACTGAGGTACTGGGGAGAAATGGCTTTTGTTAGATTTTCCGTTTTAATTCTCTTTTATCAATAATTACTTTATGTTTTTCCAATATATCAATCACTACAGCCAGCCCACATAATATCATAGTATATTTTGCAATTTTGATTATTATAAGAATAACTATTTAAGAAGTTTGAGGAAAAACACTTTCTGAAACTGTGAAATTATATTAAACTAAACTAAGATTGAGGAGAAAGAATGATGGCAAGAATAAATCCTTCCCCGGGCTTTCAAGTGGTATGTCTAGTATCACACCCACACCACACATTTAAAGAATTCTTAATCCACTTTGACAGTCATGGAGGATCTTGGGAACTATAGTGTCTTGAAACTGTAGCTCTGTGCAGTCAGCACACTTAGCAAACTATACTTCCTAGGATTCTTTGGAGGAAGGCTTGACTGTTAAAAGTGGTAGAAGAGTGCTTTAAATTTCTTCTTCTTCTTTGGCGATCACTCATGTGACCTAGACATTTAACAGGTGATAATCTCTCCCACGATTCCAATACATATATACATACACTGATTAAACCCAAAAAGTATGTTTCTCTGAATCTGTAAAGGAGAATCCCCTTCCATGCATTCAAAGGATGTGTCAAAGATGTTTAGCAAGGGAGGGATTTCCTTCTTAAACATTCAAGATATGTGGGGGAGGGCACTTAATAAAGAGGGGTCTCCACACCCCCACTAAACTTATAGAGAGATATCCTTCCATGCATGTAGGAGACATATCCAAGTTATTAATAAAAGAGGGGCCCACCATTTCTTTCAGGCATTCAAGTGGGATGTGTCCACTTTGTGTCTAAGAGGAAGATCTTCCTCAATGAATCATTACAGAGGACACCCTCCCATGTCTTCAAAGGTGTGTAATAAAGAGGTCTACACTCCACTCTCTCTAAACCTACTGGTACATCTTTTTCCAGGAATTCAAGCAGTGTGTGTCTAAGGTATTTAATATTAGAGTTTTCAACCCCACAAAAATTATATTCAAGGGGAAGAGTATACCTATATAATAAGAGAAGTCTATCACACACACCCTAAGCATGTAAAAGTAAAAAGGTAAAGCAAACACAGGTGGACAGACCCCTTCTATGGCTTCAAAGAGTAAGTCTGAAGTAAGTAATATATGCAGCATGTGTGTGTGTAACAAACACACTCACACTGACAGTACAATCCAAGCAATGCCCAATCAGGTGTAAATCCTATTTAATTCAATGGGGTTTACATTCAGGTAAGTGAGGTTAGGAGTGCTGCCTAACCCTTTGCAGGGGAGCTTCTTTCAGGCATTCCAGGACTACTTATACCTTAGGCGCTTAGTTAAAGTGGGAGCTGTCTCCTATGCATGGGGTGTGTCTAAGGTATGAATAACAGAGGGTCTTCCGCCCCCCTGACAAACATGGAGGATGCCCCTCTCATGAATTGAAGGGATATATCTGAGGTGATTTTAATAAGGGAGGGGTATCCCTCCTCTATTAAACCTATTAGAAGGATGTCCTCTTTCAGACACTCAAGAGCTAAAGTTGAGGTATTTAATTTAGGGGGGGGGGCAATTCTCATGCAAGAGTTGTGTTCCAAGATATGAATAAGGGCCTCTCCACCACAAACCCTAAACTTTTCCACGGGGACCCATTCCCATGACTTTAAGGGGTGTTTTAATAAGAGGGGGAGGGGATCTCTTCCAGGCACTCAAGAGCTATATCTGAAGTAGTGCATTTTAATTTTACGGGGGGGGGGGCAGTCTCCCATGCAAGGTCTCCCCAACACACATGGATTTCCCATAACTTCAAGGGGTGTTTTAATAAGAGGAAGGGGATCTCCCTCCCCTATTTCATCCTATTACAGAAGGGGTTCTCTTTCAGGCACTCAAGAGGTATTTTAGTTTAAAGGGGGGAGCGATCTCCCATGTAAGACGTGAGTGTCTTTCACTCCTACACATACGTACACACACACCTCTCACGTGGACGACCCCCGCTTCCCATGACTTCAAGGGGTGCTCTAATAAGCGGGGATCTCCCCCATTAAACCTATCACAGGGGGCGGGGTCCTCTCCCAGGCGCTCAGGGGCCGGATCTGAGGCGGATTCCTCACTAAGCCTATACTGATGCGGGGCGGGGGTATCAAGCATCTCCGTAGCTGGGGAGGGGGAGAGCAGGGAGTGTCTGGAGCTGGAGACAGCCCCCCCCCCCGTGAAACAAGGCCCCGTCAGCTGTCGCCTACTTCCCCCTCCTGCTGCTGTTAGTTGCTGCCTGAGGGGGAAACGCCGCCACCCCCACCTCTCCCCTCAGCGCTCCGGCCTCGCCCTACCTTCTTCTTGGCCGACGCCAGCTTGCTCTGCCTGCTGCCGTCCGCCATGTCTGAACCGGGCCCGGGCCACGTCAGCCCGGTGTGGTACGAAGGTGGGTGGAGAAAGAGGGACGAGAGCGAGAGACACAGGGAGGGAAGGCCCCGCCCGTGCCCTGCCGTCTCAGTCGCGCGAGGACGGAAGGAGGGAGGGAACGCCGTATTGCGCAGGCGCGGCCGTGGCAGCTCTTGAGGCTCAGCTGGCGAAGGGAAGGAGGGAGGGAAGGCGCATGCGCACGGCTCTTCCCGCCGTTTTCGTCCCCCGTTCTCCCAACGAATCTTTTTCTTCATCACCTGTTGGTTTTTCCCTCAGAGGGAAGAAGAGCCTTTTTATCTTAAAGTGTCGTTTGTAACTCGCCCTCGAAATAAACAGCTTGTTTATTAATAAAATTACTTCAAAATGTCTTTTATAACTTGCGTTCTGACCAACAAACAGCCGCGAAAACCCCAACCTGGGTTTTTTGCTTGTTTGTCTATTTGTAAAAGAATTATTTATATGCCACAAATATATAAAATCGGTTTACAGCATTAAGAAGATTTAAAATCACTCAATAAAATAGTAAAAAGAAGTTAGAAACAATATTAACACATTTTAGAAACAATATTCACACAATATTAATACATTTTCCCAAAATGCTGCTGCTGTTTACTATATTTTAGATTACCTCATAAATTTATAATTTATAGCAAGGGAGGAGACTTAATCAGAATGGGGGCCACATTCTCCTGTGGGCAACCTTATGAGGGTCACATGCAGTGCATGGGGTCAGAAGCAAAAGTAGGTGAGGTAATACATGCAAATTTTTAACTTTGCACTATAGGCTGGTTCCTACTGTGATAGGAATTTTGAGGTCTTAGATATATGGTAATGTTCATAAGCGTACCAACCAAGCACACACATAGATCAGCACAGGAAGACCGACCTGGAACCATTTTGATTCCTAAACTGAGCAAATGTTTTCTCTGCAAGGTCAAAGTGGGGAAACCTCCCCATTGTCTCTTTCCTCACAAATCCTGTCTTAAGGGCACATTTAAGATAAGAATAGGGTGTGAGCCTGTGACATGGCCCAGGAACTAAGTATTTATCATTACAAAAGACTGGCCAGGCTCCCCAGGCAATCCAATCAAGTAAGCAGAGTATCCAATCAAGTAACTTGCCAGACAGGAGAAAAACGACAGGAGAAAAAAAACATTCAAATTTCTGTTTTAGACCACCTTTTCAGTGATGTAGGTATGATGTTTCTGGGGGTGGTCTTGATCTACAGGATGGCAATTTCAAAAGTCTTTATAAGGCCTTGCGCACCACTGTTCTGGGTTCCTCCTCCTTTCCTGCGGGTGATCTGTTGTAACAGCTTTAATAAAGATCAGGCTTGCTAGCTGATTTGCTTCTCAATCTTCTCTGGTTGGCCTCTGTTATTTTCTCCTACCAATAGGGAACCTAACGTAAGGACTCTATATGGGCTCTTGTTGTTGTTGTTGTTTAGTCGTTTAGTCGTGTCCGACTCTTCGTGACCCCATGGACCAGAGCACGCCAGGCACCTCTGTCCTCCACTACTTCCCGCTCTTGGATACCTGTTACGGAAGGGGGAGGGGGGGCATGTCTTCTTCACTACAAATATTTGCTCAATTTCTCTAGGACTCCATCACCCCTCCCCTGTCCTCCATAATCTCTCAAGTGTGTCAAAATCACTCTGCCAAACCTTTCCTCCGGGCAATGCCAGGTGACAGACTACGCATACATGGACCATTGTCTTCTCAGGATGTGCTTATCTGCGCATATCTCCAGCTCTGCATATTCCCCCCTCCCTCCTCCATATGTTAATCCAGTGTAACCCAACCTCTCCTTAATGTATTCATGATGTAATCTGTGTAACCCAACCTTTCCTTAATATATTCATGATGTAACTGGGATGTATTTTGCACTGTATTCTGGGACATGGAGGGAGTTTCAAAAGTTCATGCCACCCCTTTCTCGCTGTTCAATCTCGTCTTGAACCTGTTGCGCAATAAACTTGGATCTTCTGCAGTTTGCTCCTGTCCGGCTGAGCTCATTTTCTTCCGCAGGGACGCGCGGACACTTAGTCCGACGAGCTGGGTGGCAGAATAGCCCCGCACCCAGATTTTAGCCGTAACAATACCCCATAAGGGAAAGGGGCAATATTTGTTTACAACACTACTCACAGGCATCCAGACAAGCAAGGGTTCAGGGACACCAATTCTGTTCAGGCAGAGACATTCAAGAGGGTGCAGAAGAGGGTGAGAATGGGAGTGGCAAGAGTCCTTAGGGCCAGGTAGAGGGGCACAGAGGGCCACATCTGGCCTCCAGTCCTGAATTTCCCCACCTGATTAATACATTTTTAGTGAGCCTACAGTATTTATTATACAGTTCATGCATGACATTTTCTCCTATGGAGCTGATCATACTTATACCGAAACATCCCTCTTTCCATTCATTTTTCATTTTCATATTTAATTCACAATAAATCAGTATTTCTGTTATTTCAGCATTTGCTGCATCAGTGATATATTATTTAAAACCCTAGAGAAGACATGCCTTTCAGCTGTTGAAGTAACTTTTTGTGCTGACTGAGATTGCATTTTTGTTTTGTTTTTTCTTCAGATAATTTCCACTGAGTTTTGTACAACAGTCAGCTCAGGTAGGAACAAAGCAATACCCCTAACCTGCTCTCCCACCCCACCCCACAGAGCAGCTCTTTCTCTCTCTTTTTTTGAAATCATTTTTATTGTTTTTTCAAATACAAAGTTATAAACAAAAAAATCAAAAAGCATATTCATATAGATTCCTCCGAATCTCAGGACTTCCCCCCATCCCTTCCATGGGGTCCCATTTTGAACATTTAATACTGTATATTCTTTCATACTTCAATTTTTATATCAAACCATGTTATCCATGGTAATTTTTAAACTACAAGTGAGATTAAAATCCTGCTAATGTGTCCATCTGCTTACAGTGGCCTCCTAAATAACTTATATCCCCCCCCCATTCTTTCATAAAGTTTTTGTCCTCTTGGTTTCTGAGTTTTCCATTCAGTTTTGCCATCTCGGCATAGTCCATCAGCTTGGTTTGCTACTCCTCTCTGGTAGGGACCTTGTCTTCTTTTCATCCAGCTATTAACATCTGGGCAGCTGTTGTTCCATACATAGTCTCTTCTTTTCCTTTGGAATATTAGTATCTGTAATTCCTAATAGAAATCATTCTCGTTTCTTAACAAAAGCTATTTTAAACATTTTCATTGTATATCATCTCCCAGAAAGCTTTTATTACCTTACAAGTCCACCACATATGATAAAAAGTACCTTCTTTTTATTTATATTTCCAACAAGTATTTGTAGTTGTCCTATACATTTTTGCCAACTTGGTAGGGGTTAAATAGCACCGGTACACCAATTTCATAGAGTTTTCTTTCAAAGCATAACATGCCGTAAATTTCAAATCTGTTTTCCATAACCTTTCCCAATCTACTATCTGAATATTATGTCCCAGATCCTTTGCCCAGTGTATCATTACTGACTTGACCTGTTCATCTTTTGTATGCCACTCTAAAAGTAAGCTATACATTTTGGACAGTAATTTAACATTATTTTCTAGCAGATCTTTTTGAAATTTTGATATTTCATGACTGCAACCGGAAACTGTTTTTAACCTGAAGCACCACTTTAGCTAATGGGGCCTCCTGCTGCTGCCGGGAGCATGATTTCTGTTCTCATCCTGAAGCAAAGTTCTTAACCTGAGGTAATATTTGTAGGTTAGCGGAGTCTGTAACCTGAAGCGTATGTAACCTGAAGCGTATGTAACCTGAAGCGTATGTAACCCGATGTACCACTGTATTTAAAAAATATAGTTTAATTGGTGAAACTGTAACCAATCCGTTAATACATCCCTTATCTTATCTTTTAGCTCTTAATCAATCCAGATTGAATTCATTACTTGCTTACATTTCTATACACAGTGATAGGAATTTTGAGGTCTTAGATATATGGTAATGTTCATAAGCGTACCAACCAAGCACTTAACATAGATCAGCACAGGAAGACCGACCTGGAACCATTTTGAATCCTAAACTGAGCAAATGTTTTCTCTACAAGGTCAAAGTGGGAAACCTCCCCATTGTCTCTTTCCTCACAAATCCTGTCTTAAAAGGTAAAGGACCCCTGACCATTAGGTCCAGTCGTGGCCGACTCTGGGGTTGCGGTGTTCATCTCACTTTACTGGCCGAGGGAGCCGGCATACAGCTTCCGGGTCAATATGTGGCCAGCATGACTAAGCCGCTTCTGGCGAACCAGAGCAGCGCACAGAAACGCTGTTTACCTTCCCGCCAGAGTGGTACCTATTTATCTACTTGCACTTTGACGAATCCTGTCTTAAGGGCACATTTAAGATATGAATAGTGTGTGAGCCTGTGACCTGGCCCAGGAACTACGTAAGTATTTATCATTACAAAAGACTGGCTAGGCTACCTAGGCAATCCAATCAAGTAACCTGCCAGACAGGAGATAAACAACCACAGGAGAAAAACAACATTCAAATTTCTGTTTTAAGACTGCATTTTCTGTGATGTAGGTATGATGTATCTGAGGGGTAGTCTTAGGTTACACCCCTTCTGTATGTATGATGTTTCTGGGGGTGGTCTTGATCTACAGGATGGCAATTTCAAAAGTCTTTATAAGGCCTTGCATGCCATTTTTCTGGGTTCCTCCTCTCTCCTGCGGGTGAGGGGAGCACCCTGTTGCAACAGATCAGTAAAGATCAATCTTACTAGCTGCTTTGCTTCTCAATATTCTCTGCTTGTCCTCTGTTATTCTCTCCTACCAATTGGGAACCTACGTATATAAGGACTCTATATGGGCTCTTGGATACCCCATAAGGGGGAAAGGGCAATTTTTGTTTACAGCAACACAAATAGTGGTACAGACACACTGGTATTCCAAAATAGATAGAAAAATAGGCTAAGTCACAGCCACATCAAACTTCCGAAAGAACAGTAAGTTGTTGTATGTGTACATATTCCTGGGTTTCCCTGAAAGGCACCCTCTCCAAACTTTAAAACAATCCTAGACCTGTGTATAATTGGTACTGATCTACCATGTTCCTGTATGTTGATATATTCAATAAATGGTTACCAAAGAGCAACAAATTGGTTT